AAAAAAACCTAGGTAAATTATGTAGGTAGGCAAATTATGCATGAAATAAAGAAAGTGAACAGAAAGAATTTTTCTCCTGCTCTTGGAAGACTAAAACCAGGGGTCATCCAATGAAGCTCTCTGGTGGGAGTTTCAGGTCAGGCAAAAGGCAGGCCAGTTTCACATGGTGAAACTATGAAGTTGCTTCCACAGGATGTGGTGAAAACCATCAACAGATGGTATTAAAGGAGAATTTGACAAGTTTGTGGGGGAGAATATTAATGGCTTCTAGTCTTGGCTATATGCCGGAAGTGGCTTGGGAACTGCATGTGGCTCTGTGAGTTTATTCTGTGGCAGCTCTCAAACGTCTGACGTTCACCGTATGTGGTTCTGAGCAAGTCTGGCCACCCCGGCTATATGCCTTCAGCAGGCCTCCAAATGGCAAGGCAAGGAGGAGGAATGGGAAAGGGTTGTTGCACTCACGCTGTGCTCGTGGAAAGCGTCCCACGGGCACCTGGGTGGCTGGTAGGGAAGACAAGAGGCTGGATTAGGTTGTCCTTTGGTCTGATCCTCTAGGACTCTTGTGTTTCTAAGCATGGGAACCCTCAACAAGAAGGACCTCTCCTGCATCCCCTCCAAACATGCCACTGCTCTGCCACTTAATATAGTACAGCTCATTGTGTCAAGTGTAATACATTATTTTCCCTGAGTACAGCCAGACTGATTCTTTTCTTCTGCAAGGACTTCACCTTATCTGATATTAGGTATCTTCACCGAAGAGGATCTAATACCTTACCAAGCTGCCGGATGCTTAGTCTAAACCTATGTGTATCTGCTCAGCACCATGAGCTTTCCAAGGGGGCTTCCATAGTGGTCCATTCTTAGTAAATTTTCCTTTGCAGATCTACTCAGCCATAATGAGTTAAATAGGTTTCTTCCCAGGCAGTTTAATGTGTATAGGACTGTGGCACCAGGCCAGAGTAGGCTTTCCCAACCTGGTGCCCTCAAGATGTTTGGCCTTCACCTCCTAAAAGGTTCAGCCAGCAGGCCAATGGCCAGAAATTCTGGGCACTAGAATCCCAAATGTTTGGAGGGAACTGGGTTGGGGGCTGCTGGACTAGAGATAGATGAGTTAAAGGTGGTTTGAAAGAGGAACTGCTGCTCTGGATTCATGTGCTTGTTTCTCTTCTACCTCTGATAAAACAGGGTTTGAAAGTTTTTGCATCATTTCACAAACCTACACACCTTGTTTGACCAGAAGCAACAACAATAAAAGAACACAGAACAGCACAGCAACAATGCACTCTGAGAAGTTAAGCCAAGCTCTGTCAGTTTCAGGGAATCAGAAGGAAACTCAATTCCTTTCCAAACAACTCCTATCTTTCTTAAAAAATCCTTGTTCATACCAAAGTTTTTGCTTCGTCTGGAATAATTCTTAACAATCGTTCTTATGGCAAACAATGTCTATGGAGAAAACAGAGTCCCAGTGAAATAGGGCAACACACCACAAGTAGCCATAAGGTATTAACATGGGCAGGCATAAGGACAGCGAGTTGGTTCTCAGTGCACAAGGAAGAGAAACTCTGTAGATGCAGGACATCACCCTGAAAGAAATCCTCCGCCTGGCCTTGCTCCAGCATGCAGCGCCCTCAGCAGCACCTGGGGCTCCCCTGGGATCAGCGTGGGGCAGCTACCATTTTAATTTGTCCCACACGTAGCTTCACTCGGGAGCATGACAGCAAGTTAACAAGCTTAGTGCCAGCACTGCTCCCGCTACAGCCCCTGCCAGGTTGACTCAGCAGAGGTCCCCTGGGCTTCAGGCCCTTTGCTAACTCAAAACTGTCCCTAATGGGGACATACCCTCCTCTTTGTGTTGCCCTCAGAGTTATGTCTGCGGTGGGTGAGAATGCAAAGTAGATGAGAAGCAAACCTATATACAAACCCTCTCATAAGAAGAGACCGTATCTGGTCATTTCCCCCAGTACTCAGTACGGAAGAAGAAACGTGCCTGGGCCGTGGCTTAAGGCTGCAGGGAAATTATTTTATTTGCATGTATGTTCCGCTTCTTAACCTCATCTGAGTACAGTTGTTGTCACTCTATATGGAGCTACACTCTCCTGAATTTCAGATATTTAATATAGTAGCAGTTTCTATGGCTTTCAGGAGGGGGCTCTGAAGAATCCTACAGCTCCAGGGATGCTTTCTAGGATTGCTCTCTAACTTACTCTAATTACAAACAATTTCCAGCTTTTGCCTCTTATCAGGGTACCTACTGCTTTTGAAAGACTGATTTCAACCCAAACAGCTGAGCATTCCTATTTTCTTAATATGTTCATAAGCAATTTTCCTGTTCTGTTGGGGGGAAAAAACCCTAACAGCCAGAGCCATAGGAGAAGTTAAGCAACCAAGTTAATTGCTTCATGTTGTATATACAGAACTGTGAAATAACAGGTGACCGCATATGGTGTTCTAATCTAACGCCTCTTCAATTCTGCCATCAGCCCATCTCTCTCCTTTTCTCTTCCCAGCCGATCAAGTATCCTCCTTTATTATATTAAAGAAGGCCAGCTGGAACTGGCTTCAGAGCCTGAGGTATCCTCTTTGGAATGCTGCATTTTCAGAAAAGCAGGCCTGCTCCCTACAAAGGCTCCTTCTTCCCCACTTGCGCCCTGTTCTTCACACCCCTGCATGGATCATTAACATGCACTACATATATAGAGGGATATATTTTAAGACCATCCAATGCTGAATGGCTCCAATTACACTTCCAGTTCTAGGAATAGGCAATGCATTCTAACTAATGTGTTTGTCTCCCCTACACACACACACACACACACACACACACACACACACACACAGGCTGACGGATGAGAGAAGAGGAACAGTCTTGTTGGTCTTGTGGGGAAGACCATTACCGGAGGAGAGCCACAGACCCGTTCCTGACCCCAGGGTCTGTGGCCATTTGCACAGCTGCTTGATGCTGTTTGGATGACCTTCTGGGCCTCTTGCTCTGGGCCTATTGCAGCTATTGGCACCAGGGCAGCAAGAATCTGCCCCCTTTCATTCTTTCATTGTGCTTTCTTGTCTTGCTTTGTTGCCATTTATATTTTCATAGACTTTTAAAGTGTCCGTGGGGAAATGAAATTGCATCAGCAGCAACAGCAGGTGAAGCAGCTACATTAAATTACATCCCATCTTCTTTACATGAACAAAAACGCTTTCAGGGGGTGGTTTCATGGTTTTCATTCCTTTCCCCTCCATTCTGTAAGGTGGAAATGTCTGTCCCAAGGTTCACTTACAGACAGTAAGCGCTTTCAGCTACATTATGCTCGGGGTTTTTTCTGCCCCTGCTCCTTTGCCTTGTCCCTGCCCTGGCTTGACTTCAACCCTTCACACCACTGGAATGCAGCCCCCAAGAGCTTCTTCAGAAATGAGTTTGATCCTCAGGCTGAGCAAAGTTTAGCACCCCACCTTGCTTAGAAAAGTCATGCTGAGTATATTGTGGCTGTGGTCAAGGACTTGCAGCTTCAACCACTTCCATTATTGCTCAGACTTAACACAAGTCCTTCCCCCGTCCACTAGCTGAAACAATTAAGGTTAATTTATCTAGAACTGCAAAAATAGTGCTAAATGTTTCTCTCTTGCATTCTTAGAATGCAATTAAATGCCCAGTGCATTGAATATGCTGCCCAAGCAGCAATCATCACACAACAATCAGGTTTCTTTTTATTAATTTAATAAGACTTTAAAGTTTGTAAAAAAAATTAGGGCCAAGAAGTATCTTTTCTTTGAAAATGCTATTAGCTGAAAATTTTGTTGCCAAAAATGATATTAACACTTGTTGCAAAATGCCTTAGCCTGACTACATTGCCAGAAACAGTGGCCAAACTTACCCTTTTATAACATTGCCTGGAAATCTCATCTCTTTTTAATCTGTTTTCTTTACAACACAATGGTAACAGCAAAAATGATAGAAATGATATTGTATCTAAAGAAACATATTAATATACAGTAATGTCTTCCTTGGTATGGAAAGAATGAGAGAAGCACAATGAGGGGGAAATGATTAACATTTCCATTTTAAATATTTAGGCTAATATAGGCAGTCAATATATCTAAATAAGCTCCCATACAGCTGTGATATTGTAGAATGTAGATATGCTTGAACGTAGCAGGAGCAGTAAGAGCTTCAGTCCATTGACTGGCAGAGAATTGGTGGTGCTTTCCTTTCTGAGCTCTAAGTCTCCTTGCAATGGCAAAGGCTCCCAGTATCCACTCTTACTGTCCATCAGTTCTTCCCCACATCATGGAGTTGGGATTTAAACATGCATGTATATCCACTATTATTGCAGATTTTTCAGGAGTAAGTCATGATGTCCAACCAAAAAGAAGGGCTCTGTGCTCAAGGTATCACCAACATCTAGCAGAGGCAGGTTCTTCTTAGCAAGCCTCTGTATACACAAAATAACAATTCTTGTTCACCTAATCCTAATTTTAAATTCTGCAGAAATAGTACATAGGCAAGCTAAGGGAACTTTCCATGGATTAAGCTGTATAAAGCATTCCAGTTCCTTATGCTGCTCATCTCTGACCCTCTGGATATGTACTTTCCTACATTCCAACAGATTTTATTAACACCTATTATTGGCTTAGCTGTCTGTAAGGAACTAATCAATTCCTCCCACTGCACTGAAGCTTCTTGGAACACCCTTGATGAATCCTTGCAACCCTCACAGAAGTAATAGAGTGCTGTACCTGCATGTTTACCTAGTTCTCTTTCTGAGCAGTAACTCCTGTATATTGATCCACCTGTTTCCATATTCCCATAAGCTGAGAGATCCTCAATCCCTTTATTGATATTCCTGGTATACTGAACCTTATGATCAGTCTGATCATAGATTTAAGGTTATTGCTGTATTTTATACTGTTTTGTAGAATCTGTTTGTAATAAATGGAAAGGCACCGCTTTGTAAAATGCCATCTTTCTGTGCTATTGCATGATCTTCATTATTTGGATGCAGGGTAGCATGTTTAACAGCTGGAAACCAATGTGGGTAGTGCTGTCAGAAGATGCAATTGAATTCTTCAAGAAGAAGACTGACAACAGTCCTAAAGGAATGATTCCTCTAAAGGGAAGCACCCTGACGAGCCCCTGCCAGGATTTTGGTAAAAGAATGGTGAGTAGATAGGTTTTCTGAAGTGCCCTGAATAAAATAGGTCGAACTCAAGAAGAGTTGTGTGGGCTCAGGCCACATGCCTAGATAGTATCTAACTGAGACATTTTGCAAGCACTAATAGTATCATGCTAGGAGGAGCTTGGTTCCGAACTATGCGTAAAAGGTACATATAGCTAAAGATACCTTACCTTGTAGTTGAACAGACATTTGTGCAACCAGTTGCACATCTCACTTGCACCACCATTTGCACAGTGGAAATATCTCCTGGTGTTATCTGAGGTTGTAGAAGAACACCCTCTGTTCTCACAGTGGGCAATCAGAGAGCTGTGAGAAACCTGAAGGCAGAAAATGAATGCAGTAGCATCCTCCCACTCATGTGCGGAGGGCATGCCACCTCTGATACTGGGTGTAATATATAGCCATCAAGACTAGCAAGTGTTGATCGCCTCATCCTCAATGAAAGGGTGAGATATTCATTAGACAGTTTTCACTGTAGGTATGATTTGAGCCCCCTGATGCTGGGAATGATTGAAGGCAAAAGGAGAAGGGGACGGCAGAGGTTGAGGTGGCTGGATGGGGTCACTGGAGAGGTGGGTGTGAGCTTGGGTGTACTCTGGCTGATGGTGGAAGACAGGAGAATATGGAGGAATGTTGTCAATGGGGTTGTGAAGAGTCGGGCACGGCTTTGCGACTGAACAACAAGATGATTTGAACAAGCCATACTGATATGTAAACTGGTATCAGCCCCCCAGGTGTGTGTAGGAGACCAGGAAAGAAGTCCAGGGCAGTTTTGAGAAAACAATGCTGGCCATTTTCTCACAAAGAGTAGAGTGATTTGACACTTGTTCAGAGGGTCACCACAGTATGGAACAGGGTTGTTCTGGAGGTCCAGTGAGTATGTAGAGCTTCTTTAATAGCTCAGTTCAAACTGGTTTTTCATTGTAGTCATGCAAAACAAGAACTGGGCACTGTCCATCTTGTAGTGGGACAGGAGCTCCATCTCTAAATTTTCCTTTTATTTGAGTTATCAATGGACTGTGTGGTGGATGGTACCACCTGTTCTTAGAACAGAAGTAATAATAGCAGTCTGAAAATCTGATTGTTGCTGTACTATGAGACCACTGTACAGGATACCAGCATTCCAAAATCAGCAACCAAACAGAAAATATAGTGGCTTTACAATGTTACAGTTTGATTTGGCTTAGCATTACCATTGCGCTCAGGGTATGATGCCCTTAACTGCACACATTTCCATGTGCTCAAAGTCATGAGGGAAAACTTTCATTCATGCATGGTGCAGAAGCCAGAGTGCAGTGCCCTAAACAACCTTTTTCTTCAAGCCATCTGGACATATGGTGAAAATCCCGCAATGCTACTTGAAAGTTCAGCTCACATCAATTTTAGTTTATACTCCTTCTCCAACACAAAAGGTTTGGTCCAATAATGTCACTGTGCTTCACAAAATGCTGAACAGTCCAGGTTGGGCTGTGCAAAAGACTTTGGTGAGGCACAAACCTGAGGTGAAACTGAGCTGCTTTGGAGGTGTTGAGACTCACATCCAAAGTGAGGGGGTAAAATGGCCAAGTCCTCAGGCCCCATTTCCCAGCACACACACATTAAAGAACACAGCAAATTGCCACAGGGCTGTGAACACAATGGTGGGGGCAGGCCTGAAAATAAAAATAAACCATATACCTACACACATTCATTTATTTATTCATTTATTTATTAAAACATTTTTATTAAAACATTTTATTAAAACATTTAAACATTTTTAAAACATTTCCCCTTGCACCTTCCTTGCACCTCTCTTGATGTTTCCCACATGGGCTGGGGACTGTTCAGTTCAGGCACCATTACTGGAGGACTGATTTAAGTCTAAGACTTCTTGAAACATCTACCATCATGGAATGTTACCTTGACTGAATCCCAGGCACATCTTCCTTGAACTGATGGTCATCTTTTGGCCAAATCTGGTCATATCAACACTTTCTCCCAATCATTGTGAATGTTTGCACTTACAGCTCCTTTGCCCAGCAAGCATCAGGAAAGGGCATCGTCTTATTTTGACTGATCCCCAGTTACATCTAGCACAATAAGACGAGTCTAAGAGTGATTCTTTCCTCCAGTTGGTGTTTGTGGACACTCACTTCTTCTGTTCTTTTGCACTTATCCTCATCTTTGCCAGCATGGTTCACTGTCACCTTTGTCTGATGAAACTGTTTGAAAAAAAAAAAAAACAGCTGCATGGTTCTCTCTTCTTTCAAAAACAGACTTGTAAAGTCTTAGAGGTATTGTCATAACATTGATTAAGATTTTAAGATGTTAGCACAGAATCACATTTTCTGGGCTGTCTTGCCCAAGGCTCAGGAATCTGCCATAGAAATATGGGATCTTCTTAAATATGTGTCTGGGTCTTTAAGGGGTCTTCTTGTAGGTGTACCAAATCTGAGCTGGTTGAATTCTGACTATTGAATTATGCCAGATCAAATTAGCCATCTTCAGACTTTTGTTAGCAAAATCATTTAACTCATTTAGTGCCTGATTAAAATCAATATGACCCGAGCTATGAAACATGCCAATAGTTGGGCAAGAAATAAATGTTAACCATTTTGAAATATCTTACTATTTTAGTTTGTCATCAAACTCACAACTACCAAACAACAAGATCACTTCTTCCAAGCTTCTCACCTTGAAGAGAGAGATGCCTGGGTAAAAGACATCCGAAAGGCCATTAAATGCATCTTAGGAGGACAAAGGTTTTCCAGGAAATCTACAAGGAAGTCTATCAAGCTTCCTACAACAATTAATCTGAGGTTTGTTAAAAGTTCACATTAATTAATTAATTCCAGCTGAAGTAAAGAACTGTTATATGCTGAATTCTATTCTGTTATGCTACTTAAACTTACTCCAACATGGACTTCTTTCAATAGGTGGGACATTTTTGCTCACAAAGAGGGTGATCATGTGAAACATGTAAAATAGCCCTGGCACTCTCTTGTTTGGTTACTGTTCTTTTTCCTTTCTTGAAATCAATATTGGGAGATGCAAATTTGAAGTACAAGTGAGGTGGCCAGGAGTGCGACCTGTTTTTCCTTTCCTCATGTCGCACATTTCTCTGTCACCTGGAAGCCTCCCCAGCTACCTGCACTTCCTGCTCTGGGCTTCAGGTGAAGTCCTGGGAACTGAGGAGACCACAGCATGCCAGAGATACAAATATCAAAGAAAGGTCACTTACACAGCCCTCATGAGGAAATATGCAATACACCCATGAGAAATGCAACAAAATGTTGTTCTCTGAAATTGTTTTTGAAAGCAATTTGTTTTCTATCATGTTGAGTAACTGAAAAATGCTGAAACAGGTTTGACACAATCGATTGCATAGATTACTTTCCCTTTTCATTGTATTAGCTGCCTCTGGCTCATTAGTGAAGGAAAGGCTCGGTATTAGTAGTATACATTCAAAAATTAAAAGGGCCACCAGAAAAGATATGGGCACCAGTTGTGCTTTGTCCTCATTTTCCATAACACTGTGAAGATGTTAAGTGTGTCTCCTGCTTGTCCAGACTTGAATTCTGCAATCTAAAGTATGGCTTGAATGGCAGTCCAGGAGTGCAGTGAAGCAAACCCAGAGCCATTTTACATCATATTGATCTCTGGGCCCTTCTAGGGTGATCATGAATCAGACTCATGGCCCATCTAACACAGTAACTCCCTCTTCCTTGTAGCGGCTCCCCAAAATATCTGACGGAGTCCATACCCTGACCTCATATTTATTAACAGGCATTAGAGAGGTTTTAATATTACATACAAAATATGCATGGCACCCCCAGCTATGCAGAATCAGTAATCTCTTAAAAAAGTGGACCCTTAATCAGCCATTTTGCCCCTGCAGGATTATGGCTTGCTGGTTGATTCTTCTATTGATGTGGAATAGGCGCCTGGGGTAGCTGCCTGGTGCTACAATCAGCAGGCCTTAAAGCCCAAAAGATGGCAGTCCTTTTGTTGTACTTCCAGAAGGAGACTAGCCCCTTCAGACCCATTTTACTCGTACTGTCGTTATTAATGCATTGCATTTACATTCCACCGTTTTCCCCCCTCTTGTGAGGAACCCAAAGTGGCAGTTGTTTAGGGTAGAGGGGTAGGAAAACTGACTAATTATTCTACTTCAGCTTAACATTCTTAATTATTCTCCATCGTTTGCTTTTCTTTTTTGTGCACAGTGCTGTATATCTCTCGATGAAAGACCCTGACAAAGGGATACGAGAAGAAACTCTGGAAAAAGACAAGAAAATTTATAATCATTGTTTTACAGGTAAAGAGCTCTTATTTCTTCATTAAAACCTAACAAAACATTCATAGGAATAAAACGGAGTTGATATGACCACCATGTGGGAAAGTAGTTAAATTATTTCAGGGACTAGCCCAAGTCAGTGCTGAAGTATGAGGTACAAATTTGGAAGGCCATTTCAGTTCTCAAACAGAAAATTAAACTGTGCCACATTCTAAGAAGACCTTGAAAAAATAACTTAAGACATAAAATATGGGATGTGGGTATTGTTGCAACCATCACTGGAAATACCAGAGGAGTAGAAATCTGACTGTTCTGCTTTGAAACAGAAGTATGCCACAAAGAAATAATAGGAGGCATGCTATTCTGGGAAAAGACTGCCAACCTATGTGATTCCAATGTTTTTATGAGACAAGAGACACACCCTTTCAGTCTACTTTTCCAAAGACTCATTAGTTTGCTCTTCCTGAGCTGGCTAGCTTCTAAAAGGGAAGGAAGAGGTGTCAGGCCTTTGTACAATTTATGACCTGGAATCCCCACCTCCTAGCTCAGAACTGGCTTTATGTGTGGAAACAGATTTACCTTAACGTTTTCCTTTATGTTCAACAAGGCCTACAAGGCTGAATTGATCAAAATTCTGCAATTGATTAAAGGGTGTGTGTGTTGCTTTATTAGTCAGAAGAGTTGTCGTTGTTTTAATTAACCATAGCTACTTATACACAATGGCAGAGAGCAAACACCATTTCAGAGGCTGTCACTGTCTGGAAGGAAAGGGGACTGCCCCACTTAAATATCATGCTTGCTGCAAGTATTAGGTGCATTATCTAACAAGTAGTTTGTATTTTTTCCCTCCTTTGAATGATCTGTGTTTTTTCATATGCAAAGGAATGCAGCTTTAATGAATAAATTAACAAAGTACTTGATCAATCAGCTGAAGTGCAAATGAATTGACTAAGGGTTGAATGCAACATGGCTTGAGCGGGTTTGTGCAATGGACCTTCCCCTTGCTCTTGTCTGCACTGGACATGAAGGAGAGACAGATTTATTTTTGGATGGGCCTAGGCAGCCTTAAGCTTCATGTGTGTAAGACGCGTACGAAGTGATAAGGGAGGCTGAGGCAATGAGAAACTCCAAATAACAAGCATCATTCTAATTGATAAAGGTAGGTGCTTCAGCAAATGTTAATTGGTAGAAATAGTGGCGAGCATGCATATTAAGAAGAGCTGCACTGCAGAAAATTACAGCCAACCAAATCAGAGCTTCTGACATCCTTTGTGTGAGAAAGTATATAAATGATATTTATTTATTTTATTTATTTTTCTATTTATATCCTGCCTTTTTCCTACAAAGGGCTCAAGGCAGCTTACATCTCCTCCTCTATCTTATCCCCACAACAACAACCCTGTGAGGTAGCTTGGGCTGAGAGTCTGTGACTGACCAAAGTCACCCAGTTGGCTCCATGGCTGAGCGGGGACTAGAACCCAGGTCGTCTGAGTCCCAGTCCCATGCTCTTAACCACTACGCCACACTGGCTTTTCAAACTCATATGAAAAGTTTGAACAGGGCTCTCTGCAGGTGTGCAGTGCAGGGGACTTTGTTTTGCAAAATAAATCCCCTTTTTCCTCTTACTCCCTTGTTGTGTATGATTGGACTGGCACGCAGAACCCCATTGCGGCCAACAGAACCTCTCTGTGCAAGCCCCAGATATACCCTGAGGTATATGCTAAGCGGAGCAGATTTGGCATGGCATGCAAAGACCTTCTAGGATCATTCATTCCGCCAACAGTTTCCATTTGCTGGTGGGTGGCCAGCATTAGATACAGTCCTACCATTTCTTTACTCATCTATAATATTTACACATAACAATGAATAGTAGGGACTGTATCAAAAAGTGCTCTTTTACTGCCAGAGATTTTTTCCAAGTGGAAGAGGAAGCAAAGCCATTTTCCTTGGGGTACAGGGGCACGCTTTGGAGCAGCTTAGGAAGTGATGGAGGCAGGGTGGCCATTTGCTTAATTACTGCCAGCCCATTAATTCACGTAGCAATTGCTAGTCTACAATGCGTCTTTGCTGCTTGCCCATTGACACACCTTGGCCCATTGTCTTCCACCAGGTACTACCGTCATTGACTGGCTGCTGTCGAACAATTCCACCCGAAACCGCCAAGAGGGTCTCGTGCTGGCATCTGCCCTGTTGAACGAAGGCTATTTTCAGCCCGCTGGGGATATATCCAAGAATGCAGCAGAAGGCTTGTCGGAAACTTCCTTCCTCGACCATGAGGATGCCTTTTATTACTTCGTAAGTGCTGAGAAAGGGTCACTAGAACATTATTTAGAGAGTATAATTTTAGGCTGGCTGCAGGATAAACTTCAAATTGAATGCAGTGCTATCCATGCCACTGCTGTTGATCTTTTCTTTTGTGTGAGTGTTGGATTATACATCCCTGTATCTTTCCAGGGGCCACCCCTGTGGAGTCCCCGCTAAAGCTTTCCTCAGAGGGATTAAGCGACATTGCTCAATGTCAATTAATTACCTTCTAGCCTTGTCAGAGGTGAGATCAGAGCTGAGGCATGGTATATTCAGAGCAAATGAGGTAGTGTAGTTAAGGCAGGGGTATCCAACCTTTTGGCTTCTCTGGGCCACATTCGAAGAAGAAAAATTGTCTTGGGCTGCACATTAAATGCACAAACACGAATGAAAACTGATGAAGGTCTGTGCATAATTTTTGTGATATCTGCCACCACCATGCGTACAAACAGTGAGAACACATATATATTTATGTGACACTGCAACACAATGTTGTTGTCTATTAAGTTCACGCTTAAGAACTGCACAATTGAGTTACCCCAAAAATCGTAAAAGAATCTCAATGTTTTAAGTAAGTTAACAATGTTATGTTGGGCCGCATTCATAGCCATCCTGGGCTGCATGTAGCCCACAGGCCGCAGGTTGGACACCCCTGAGTTAAGGCATTAGACAGGACTTGGGAGATCTGAGTTCATGTCCCCATGCAGAAATGAAGCTTTGCACTGCCTGCGGATTCTCAGCCTTCCTCACAAGGTTGTTGTGAAAATGGAGAGGGAGAGGATTGTGCCTTGGGCGCCTTTGAGGAAAGACTGGATAAAAATGTGGCAAATAAACAAACAAATATGTTTGGGGCAGATTTCATTAAAAAATCTATCCTGCTACATTACATCCTCCTAATTGGGCTGGTCTTACAGTCATATCACAGTTCAACTAGAGTTCTTTATTGTGTCTCAGAGTACAAATGCACTTAGATACAGTGAAATACACTTGCATTGTGTGACTGCCCTTTGTGACTATGCATCAAACAAAGTTAATTTTAAAAATTGTATTTTCAGATCAGTCCTGGCTTTTTTTTTTGGGGGGGGGAGGGTGTTAATAGTTTATCTCTTGCTCATACAAGATGATTTAGCAATTTCTTTCTGAATTAATCTGTGCCTTAGGCTCTTAAGCTAAATGGGCTCCTCAGGGAGTAAGCTTCATTTTACACAGTGGGACTTGGTCTTAAGTAAATATGCATAGGATGTTGTCCTCAGATAATTAATGAATCAATTAGTTAATGAGCCCATTCTCTTTGTACCATCACTACCCAGCCTTTATTTGATGGTAAACCACATCTGTGACCACTTTGGAGGAAGCATGATTCAGCATTCCCCAGTAACAACTCTAAGAACAGGGCAAGCCCGTGTGTCTAGGAAAGCCGTTGCATCACAGGACGGGGCACTCACGCCACTGGAGGCACTCAAGATGCAGCTGGACAGCCATCTGAGAGGGAGGATTTAACCTGGCCTCCCGCACTGAGCAAGGGGTTGGATCTTCTTGGCCCCTTCCAACTCTACTATTCCATGATTCTATGAAACGGGCTGAATTCTTTCACAAAGTAATTAGGAACGTGGTTTTTTCCCATGTCCTACCATAGGCAGACAGTGGCTTTTTCTGTGAAGGAAATTCCAGTGATGATGATGGAGTCTTCAAGGAAGAGTTCAGAGGCATAGTGGTCAAACAGGGATGTCTACTGAAACAGGTCAGTATAGCAATCCCATCTGTTGTCTTGGACCAGAAAGGAAGTCTGTGCTGTGAAAAAGATGAGCCAGTCTACAGTCTTCTTAGGAAGGCCGTGCTCGAGCCTGCCTTGACTTTGCTGGGTGCGTCTGTACAGCAGTCTATGTTCCTAAATGGCAAGAAGCTGCTTCACAGTGTAACAGAGTGCAGTGAAGTAGTGGAAATTCTGGAGTGCCAGCATTTATCCTGGCAGTCCTTCTAGCCACATTTCCAAGGAGAATCCAAAATACAGACACTTCTGCTGATCCATTTGAGCAAAAGCAGCTGAGAGGGAAACCAAAAGCACCCATAAAATATTTTGCAGTATAACAGGGGCAGCTCACAACAAAACGCTGTTCTTGGGGAAATCCACTTTCCTCTGTCAGGACTGCAGCAAAGTTCAGAGGAAGCAGGGGAGCCCGAGGCACGTGGCCGATGACATAATCAGCTCTGCTAATCAAAAAGTCCTGGTGCTTCCACCCTGGGAGCCCTGCTGGGCTACACCGTTGGCACAGTGGCACCACAAAAGCACCAGTCCAGTCCCAGCCTCCGCACACTCTGTGTCTGCCTCTGCAGAACACCTGCAGCACAGAAACTGAGCAGAGAGAGGAGGGGAGGCAAAAGCACCTGCGTATACAGCCAGAAAAAGCTGTCAGATGAGGAAGTGGTGCTTGGATGTGAGAATTCGTGATTCAGATAACTGCACATTCTCTGAGCAGGTCCTTGAAGCTGTATGTGTCAACACGAAGGAGATATGGTACTCTGACCTGGATATGATATTGGATGGAAAACTGAAATAGCAGAGGAATGTCAGTTGTCTCTTTCTGTAGAATGAATTGGGGCGTGTCTCTTGTTGTGGATGGGTGAAGAATGACAACCTTCGGAAGTCTCGTGGTAGTGTGTCAGTGGGGCTGGTATCGCAGGCTGCAGCAGAATTGCAACAAGGGCATCAGGTGCAGGGCGTGTCATTTCCTTCAAAGCTTGTGACTCATTGCGCTTGTCGCTTGCCTCATGCGGTCTTGCACGCAGTCAAGGAGTGACAGGGCCCACTGCGGGTTTTGATCATCACTTTCAAGGCAACAGGCTCAGGAAAGCTGATCAACCATTTGCTGCCTATCTTCCCATATTTTAGAATATTTTGACATTTTAAAATGCTCTGCATTTAAAAAAAAAAACCCAAAGTGGATTACAGTAAATTATAAAGCAATTCATCAAAAAAAGCACAATATTTAGATGAGTTAATGGTTGAGAAAAGTCAGAAACAAGTGGGTTTTTAAGACTTGTCAAAAGCACATGATCATCAGTGCCTGATGTATAGTAAAGGGAGGGTCATTTCATGGTGGGCAGTGCCACCACAGAGAAGGCCCTGTTGCTGTGTTGCTGCCAGAGGGATTCAGGATGTGGCATGGACAAGCAAGGCCTATCCTGGAGTTGGTGGTAGTCTAGCAGGAAACCACAGACAAAGTGCAATTAAAGCATTTGATCTTACATACAAAACGAAACCTCTGTTGCATACAAAAGTGATTCCAAAATAGCTCCCTAGGAGCTTTTTGACTTGCCTCATCAAAACAAGACAAAAATCAAAAACCAAATCACAAGTAAATTTCAAGATTCAAATTTAACTGTTATATACAGTTGGAATTTACACAGAGTTCAAGACAGACCATGTACTAAAATAAATTGAAAATAATTTTAAAAAATCAGTATTGCCTATAAGGTTTTAATGTGGGGGTAATTTTAGGTACCGTATTGCTTAATAAATACAAAATACAATTTCTGCACATCTTAGTTCGTAAAATGTAATCTTGCTTTTATTAACTGTTAACATTAAATAATACTTAGTTGTAACATTATTTGCAAAGTATTTGCAAAGACAAAAAAAAAATGTGAATGATGGCACTGAAGTGCTCATAGCATTTGTAGAGGACACAAACAAGGCCGCCGTGGGTAGCTTTTTCTGCCTGGATCTTAATCTCAGGAGCATCTCCAGTTGTGATGCCTCTTCCAGACCAGTTTGGGGGAAGGGGAGCTGGGCAAGCTTCTCTCGAGGTGTCCTCACACCTCCTGGGCCCCCACCAGGCCACCTCCCTCCAGCAGCTGAGCACCAGCTGCCGCTGGGTGGGCCTGTGAGTGTGAAGGAAAGAGGGGGTGTTAGTGTGAGCCCTGCACCCAGCCATTCTAGTGCTGCTGGTGTTTGGTAAGGCTGCCCCCTTGCACCCCACATGTGGTGGGGCAGCTGGACACTGAACTGGCAGCAAGAGAATATGTGCTTTACGAACCCAACCATGCACAAGACTGGCTTCTAGATCTACAGTGACATGTGCTGGACGAATTCCCCCTTCAGATATTCTTCATGTATTTTTCTACTTTTTAATAATTTCGAGAGATCCTGCAGTTTACCCAGAAGCAAGCCTGAAAGCAAAGAGGGCATCCGAGAAAGGAGTATGATATCCTGGGGTTCTTGGGGAACCTTTCTGCACACTATCAGGTTGTAGCAGGACAGACAACAGTTAAGAAATGCTTTGATGATAATTTGTTTGAGGTTGAATTAAAAGTGAGGTGTTTCCCCCCATTTTCCTTTCAAGAAGGAATCCTTGGCCTTTAAAAAAAATGCATGTCTAGGGACAATGGCTTTTGGAGGTCAATTATAACCACCTTGGGAATTTTATTGAAAGGTATCATGTCAGTCCAACCTATAAATAAAATCAAAGAACTGGTAGATTCTGGGATGTGCTGAGGCAGCAAACTCCATCCATGAGGGCAGTTTGGCTCCAGCAAAACCAATGGCAGATTTTATTTATGTATTTAAAACTTTTGTGTACTGTCCCATCACAGATGTCTTGGAATGGTTTACAAGAAAACCAATAAAATAGGATAAAGAGATCAAAGTAGAACAGCATCCAATAATAAATATAATAAATACAATATTATAATATAATGTTATAATATAATAAATATAAAACCACAAATTAAGACAATTAACAATTAATGGGAAAATAAAAAGGTGCTTGGATATATGGGTCGGAGATAACAGTGTTGCCCCTTGGTGGCAGTATAGGTCAGTGGCATTCTGACTTCCTTTCTGGAAGAGCAGACCATTCAATTCAATTCATTCATTCATTCAATTCATTTAGGGGCACCGGAGAAAAAACTGGAAAGTCCGGAAGTTTGTGCTCAGAGAGGACCCTGCCTACGTGCACTACTACGATCCTGCTGGGGTAAGCCCTTCTATCGGAGGTTGTTCTAAAGATCATTGAGAATGAAACAGCCCTCCAAAAATGTATGGCTGACATGATTTGCTAGTGTGAACTGAGTTTCGTTCTTTGCAACCATCCTCTTGACCAGAAATGTCTTTCAGACTGTATATCCAAGTTCATTGTGTCAGTCTTCAGTCAGTACTGGAGACATCCCGCAGCACTGAAAGTGGCATGATAGGGGTCCCACTCTAGCATTCACACCCATCCCACTGGTTTCGTAAGTTTTTTAGCACTTCAAACATCAAAGCAACCTGTTCAACTAGAGACTACAGCAGGACAAAAATAGAAGCGCACATACAGCACGAGCAGGGCTGGCCTGCTCTATTTTACTGCATAAAGTGGAACAGAAAATGGCACCTCCGCACCCCCATACCACCTGCTAAAGGTCTGTAGAACCCAAAGAAGCCAAGTAGTATTGAGGTAGAAAATTCTACGAACGGCTCTCCTGCTCCTTGGCAGTAAAACTGTAACAATACATTAAATAACTATGTATTGGATGCCTCTTCATGGAACCCAACCGAAACTTGCTTGAGGGAAAGGCCTTACTTTGTCTAATGGTGGGACCAACCCTCAGCAGGGCAATGATAACTTTTATCATATGACCCTAAGTTTCTTGGAGACATTGTCTGTCCATTGCTCTGGGCAGGCTGGGAATAGGCTGCTCCCAGCCACTTCCTTACACACAGAGCAGACCGAGGGGTTTCATATGGCTCCAAGCTTTTCTAGACTAAGCCCGTTCTTTCTGAAGCAACCTGGCTGGTGGCTCATGGATGCACAGTGGCTTTTGTTTTGTGCATGTTGATTTGCATGTTCCAAAACCGGGCACCTATTTCAGAGGGAGTTTCAGTACTTTTATGCAGTATGTCCCTCCTGCTTATGTCTTGTTCTGCTGTGCTAACAGTGTTTTTCTTCCATCTGTCATGTCACTTCACTACTAGTGATGCAGTTATAACACTGAGTTCTGATGTTATGTGTCAGGAAAAAAAAATCTGTTCACTTTCTCCGTATGGTTCAAAATTATTTATATAACCCTTGGGACAAACCTCCTCACCCTTTGTCTTCCTTCTAAATTAAAGGGCCCCCAGCTCTTCAGCAGTTCCTCACTGTTTTCCTCACAACTTGTGTGAACACACACACACACACTGCCAACATCACATCCATTTCACTAGTTCTGATGCAACATTTAAAATAGTTTGAAAAGCTGAGCTTTTCACCAAGGTCAAGATGGTTTTGTTTGGAATTCCTTTCAGGGAGAGGAGCCACTTGGAGCTATTCACTTAAGAGGTTGTGTGGTAACTGCAGTGGAAGATACACCAGATGGTAAGTGCTAAAGAGGGGCACATGGACTGTCATATTATTTATGCATCTGTAAATAATCTTAATTTATTCAAGGGTTGAAAGAAAATGGTCAGACATGGCTATTTTGTTAATGCAAGCAGTGAGGCTCCTCCTGCCATTATTACCAGGCCATCATGCCAGTTTATCATCAGATTTTGCTGCTAGAGGTGAGGAATTGTATCTGATGGTGGCATTGCACCAGCTGAAAGCACTTCTTGTGCATGGAGGAGCATATATTTGTTTACTATCCCTACTGATTATAACTTGTATACCCCAGAAAAAGCTGCTGTGGATATGGCACAGAGCATTGCAGTACGCAAAGGAATCAACACAAATTCAGTGCCTTGCCTTTCCCATCAGAAACACTTTCGGATGGCCATGCTGGCTGAGAATTGAAGGGACTGCAGTGCAGTGCAGCGAAGCTGGTGGAGGCAGGGTTGGAGGAGGCTGCTCTCCTGGATGTGGTTTACTGCTAAGCAAAAATGTCTTGGGGGACTTGGGCTGCTGTTTGAGATCTTGGTGTTATTTCAAGATCTGTTTGACCAGAAACAGCAAAGAGTATGTGAACATTAAGTACAACAACTATGCTGTTGCAACCGTTTTAAAAATTCTTAACATATATCCAGACACGATCTTGCATGAACACTGGGGAAAACATGAAGTTGAGGCTGGTGTCAGTTATGGGTAATATCTATGTCAGATCTACTTAGAATAGAACCATTGGAATGGATGGGAGTTAAAGTATACCAACACTGAGTACAGCCCATGGATGCAACCATCTTTGTGTTCCACAGATGTTTTTAACACTCATGTAATAATGGATGGAATGGTTTATTCTGAGGCAGAGGTCCTGAAAAAGTCTTCAACGTCCTTCATTCACTGTCTTTTATCCCTCAGGCAAGAAAAATGAAGTGGGAGGGAACTTGTTTGAAATCATTACTGCAAACGAGGTGCACTTCATCCTGCAGGCGGCCACGGCTGCAGAACGCACAGAATGGATCAAGGCCATTCAGACTGTCTCCAGGACTGGAAAATGAAAATGATGGATCGTGGCACAGCAGTGGACAACTAGTGGTCCTCCGCATGGCAATGCTGGCTCAAGCTGATCGGAGTTGCAGTCCAGCAACATCTGGAGAGACCCTGGTGGCCCACATCCCATGCAGCAAAAGGAAGTGTTTTATGTTCCCAGGGATTTTTCACCAGGCAGCTCTTTGTAACTTTGCTTATATACATGAATATCAGGGTGGGTGGAATCTTTCTTTGGGAATATTTATCATGCTTGTCTCCTAACGACCATCTGTAACTGCCCATTATCTAAAATAGAATAATTTAGTATAATCAATCTGTGATGCACACATTTCTTACTTCTTACCACTTAGATAAGGGGAGCTGCTTTGAGGCAGAAGCATGAATAAGCGTTAGGCCAGGCTTATGATTTCTGTATATGATGGTAGTGAACAAATGTTTGGTTTCTAAAAGTTGTCTTGTATTTGTATCGACTATCCTCATCTTCAGGCACTTCATATTCACCTGTAAAAGACCCTACTCAAATAAACAGAGTTCTGTTTGTGCCAAAAGAGATGAAGAAGCATCTGAGCCACGTCTAACTGTATTATTGAAATACAGATCTGGGGGAAAAAAAACCAGACTTCCTTTTTCTGCCTGTGTGTTTTTTTGATGAACTCCTGAGTAGCATAACGGTGATGGCTGTGCATGTTTTAAAATCATCAGAATTACCGTCACTGCTAAAATAGGTCACAGTCTTCACTTCTAGATATTCTCAGTATACTATAAATAATTCAGGCTTTGCAAGGTTAAGACACAATTCTAATTCTGCAGTGCTTTCCTGCACAATTGTGGCAGTGCTCACTTGTGCTTCTTGTCCTCACTGACAAGTTCAACAAAAGTAACTCTTGGAACAAACTTCCCCAACATTTTTGTTGGACTACAACACCCATCTTTCCTAGCATGGCAGCCAGTTAGGGAAAGCTGTTTTGGAACTTCTGCCAATTTAATTTAGATTCTGTTTACCACCAACTTTTCTAAACACACACACACACTCACACACACACACGTTCTGGCAGCACTTAATGCTGGATAGTCTGCTGTGACTAAGAATGGGGTTGTTTTATACAAAGAAAGCATAGTAACGCAACATTTAGATTCAGAGGCAATGAATGTGGGCTGGAGGCATTTTGCTTTAAAAGCGCCAAGTCAGTTTAACTAGGCCCTTGTTGGAGAAGGTGAATGTGCTTTAACTACAAGTACCGTTTAAAACTGTGTGTGTGTGCAAATATTTGAAGGAAGAATATAAGATACGGCTGCATGCTTCTGTCATGGAGGAGGCAGATGCAGCTTGCCTCTTGGTTGCAGTAGAAGGGGAAAGACAAGGAAAAACAAATTGGCCTAAATTTCAAGACACCAAGCAGATGAGCCAGACAAGTGGTTGTTGATATAACGCTTTGGCTGGGTTCACACATCATGGCAAGCAGCTCTGTGTGGTTTCCATGGTCCATGGTTTTTTGCCTGGATATTTTTGCCAGACATTCAAGTGGTTTCTACACTGGTGTAGTTCCCACCATCCTTGCTCAGTCCTCCTGCTTTTGCCATGCATTGCATCAGCCACCTCATCTGAAGTTCAACCCCACACTGCATGGCTGGCGCAGCTCCTGCAGCTGCTGCTCTTTCCAAGACAGCTGGTGTTGCTGTGGCAAAATGCAGTTGTGCAGGGATCTCGCTTATGCTGTCTCCAGGCCCTCCTGCCAATCACTGCGCAATCGCTCTTCCTGGTTCTGCAGGTGGTTGCAGGGTCACTCAGGTCCTGATCCTGACACATTCTGCACAAGATGATGTATGGTACAATCCTGCCCAGTCTCTATCATTTCTGCAAAACTGATCCTATTATCTAACACTTAACAGTTTCCCTGCTGTCCATTCATCTTAATCTGATATTGGTGTAAGAGGTTTACATCGTCATGGAAAAACCTCCGTAGAGTCATATAGCAAGGTGGCCTTTTCCCTGACAAAGCCAGAAAAAAGAGCAAAAGCCTACAATCCTGAGGACACCTCAGGCCAGCTGATCTATCAGATTTGATTTACGTTTGGACAAACTTTCATTGGAATAGGTTGCTTATTCTGGGGCAGCCGCCGTCGTTTCACTGATTGAGGATTCGCTTTTTCCATGCTCTGAATCCATTGCAGTCACCTGGGCATCCATGTGCGTGGCCACATCATGTAAGCCCTACACAGCAGGGCTGTGGAATCCCTTTGAGCCTAAGCACCAAATTCAATTTTGGGGAAATTCTTTGAGGGTCACATTCTAGCAGTGGGTAGGACTGGAATATCAGCATCTTCTAGCTTGGAAAGGGGGAAAACCCCACACAAGCCAGAAAACAGCCAATCTGTGGTCAGGGGCAAGTGGGTGGGGCTAAGGGAATGGGCATGGCTATTTGGGGAACCTGGGGGCTCGATTTGGCTACTTGTGGGAGGCTCTGTATCTCTACTGTAAGGGATGAATAAATGAAGGAATACTGTAAGGACTCCACTTTCCCGAATGAGACCCTACCTGGATGCCAGGGTCTATTTTTGTGTGAGGGGACTTATGCAGGGCCATATCCAGGCTTCTCTGCTAAGTAGACAGCCATTTCTCCAGGCCCATTTCTAGGAGGGACATGAATGGGGAATCAGCGGTTTCTTCATAAATAGTATAAATGTCCTTAAGCCTTGCCCTGTTGAGAAGTTCCTCCCACTTGATGGACACTTATGTGGGAACAAGGAGGCCCTGCCCCCTTGTTGCTGCCTCCTCCTCCTCTTCTTCCTCCTCACCTGTCCCCACGACCTTCCTAATGGTGGAGCGACAGCTCCTTCGGCAAGAAGGTTCTCTACTTGGCTAGGCTTCTCATGTAGTTCAGTGGGGTCCTTTAGGGAGCCTACCTGAACAGAGAGGGCTCTGGCCAGTACATCTACCAGAGTGGAAAGCTGTGGAGAGAGGTGGCAAGGACAAGAGCGAGGGAATGAGCAGAGAGTGGCTGTAACTTCACCGAGTCAATCAGCGCCTGGTGGCCAGCTTCAGCCTCTATGTGCATTTTCACGTTTGCAAATACGTCAGCATCTGAAGAAGATTGGGTTCTGTTCATATTGAAGTTGGACCAACTGAGCTCGCAAGATGGAGAATTTCCCAGCCTCCTTCTTCTGGTAGACCTTCCAGGCATCCAAAATGCTACCCAGAAAGTAAGGGGTAAGCTGTGGTGGGTTTGTGAGGAGGGGAATCCTCCAAATATCAGGTGAGGGGATGTAAGTAGATGGAGCCCTTCCTTTTGTGGAAGGCAGATCCTGAACCCAACATACTTGTTTACCGCCTTTTTTATTAAAGGGGTGTGCGTATGTTTTTATTAAAGGGGCGTCTATATGATTAGGAAAGTTAGGAAAATATTATTTTCCATAATATATACCATTTTTCACCAAACTGTTTCAAAGCACTTTACAATAAAGTCAGATTAATTACATTCACAATAATGATCCATCACACAAAACCAAACCACACACAGCTCAAATAACACTGAAGGAGCAATAAATGGTAGAAAGTTGGATAAAAGCAGTTTAATTCATTAGTCTAAAATTGCAAGGAACTGAAGGCAACATATATTCTTTCTCCCAGAGCACACCTTCCACCTAATTTTATCTACGCAACTATGACAGATAGGACAAACAGAAAGCAGTGGGTTTAGTATTATGACAGGGATCTGAACCCAAAGTCTCTCCTGTCATAGTTCAACATTCTATCCATGAAAATAAACAGCTTATCATTATTTTAAAATGGGGATGCTTTTACTTAGGTATAATAAACCTCTCTTAAAAATAAATACATTTATAGATAAGGTTAGGCAGGCTGTATTAAAGTTGAATGAGTCCAGTGCTTTCCCCTTAGTTAGGATTTCACAGCTTCAGTATTTAGTCATTTAAATAGATTAATCACCAGACAATAAACAAATGATTGAATTGTTAAGAGTGAGTCAAAGAAAAGCTGACTTCCGCTTTATGAATTTGAGCACCATATGGAAGACAAGACTAGCTCCAAATCAGCGAAAACAGCCCATAAAAAACAGTTCCCAGAACTCTCTGCTGATTATTCAAAGAAGTCATACAGACATTGTGACTAATATTTAAACACACTTTTCCTCCCCTGACCTTGAATATTAACTGATGAAACAGAAGCAGAAATCTCCTTGCTCTTAAGTCTATAGAGTATAATATGAAGCAAAAAAAAAAAAGTCCAAGTTTTCGATTTCCCCAAATCTTTTGCACCAAAATAAGTTCAACATTATAGGCTGAGATGCTTTCAAATTGAGGAGGACACCTGGAGTCAATACCACCCCACTGATATTGGAGAAGCTATTTTGGAGAAGCTTTCATGGGCAGTGATAGGGATGAAAGGATAATTTGTAACAAGGAAACTGGAAGAATGAAAATGTTACAAAGAAAATTTCTTCGCCATAGGGGGAGGGAGCCGGGTAGCAGGGTGCTTGCTCAATGGTCTCATGAATATTAACTAACACACCCTGCATAGAAAATAAGCTCATTATAGTTCACCTGAAAGAGACAAAGTGGGAGGAAAGAACAGGTATTGGAGAGTCCCGGAATGGGTGGATGGAAAAGATTGTAAACACGCAGTACCTCGGCAAATGAAGGAGAGGAGGAGGGGAAATGCGGACAGGGAAAGCGCATAAATATGAGATGCAAACATGTGCTGGGAGAGTTGGAAAGAGGAAGGAAACCCTCTGACTCCCTTTATTGCAAGAAAGTGTCAAAAAAGAATTCTGCTGCCTTGAGTATTTTCTCTTCTGAGGGGAAGGAAAGAGTGTTACTAACAGGCCACGTTCAAATGATGGCACGGGGGGGGGGGGCAAAAGGTGGAGGGGGGCATCCCAAAGTATATCAGCAAGCCAAGATATCATGAAAGGGAACTCCAGAGGGCCAGGATCCCAGGCGGATGTGCCCCAGGGTAAAGTTGCATATTCCCAATCTACAAGGAATATGATTGGTGGTCATAAAAGCAGGATCCTCTCCATCCAACCATCTCTGCTCTCTCCCTTTACAAATGTCTAGCTTTGGAATTGGGTACTTTATTGAAAAGCAGTCTTGTAAATGAGTCCCTCTGTCCACACCTGACACACCCTCATGCATGTTAGGTCTTTTGCCCTCATCTGTGAATTGTAAATGTTTGTGTTCTATGGAAATCTACTCTCAGCAAGTCTTTTCTGTAAATCATCAATGCTGACAGGACCCCTGATGTTTCAGTAGTTTTGCAATTACAGAGGAAGCCAGGAAAGGAAGATAAAGCCTGCACAGAGTCTTGCTTTTGTGATAAACACTGCATGGTCATGCTTTTACTTCTAAAAATATGGTGTTGGCTCTCAAATGAAGAAAACAGGAAGTGATATAACTTTTTACTTGTAGGTTGCCTCTTTTTAGAAGTGCCAGCCTTGAGTTATCAAAAGGTCACTGGGGCTGAAAACTAGCCCCTTGGACATAGTCAAAAAAGAAAAGGAAAAAATAAGGAGAGAGAGAGAGATTCAGAAAAAGAGAGAAATGTGTCACCAAGAGAGAGCCAAAGAGGACTTGGGTTTGCATAAAATGTTGCATATGCTAAAATATTGTATGTGCACTGACGGACAACCTGAAGGCCCTCCTCAGTCTTCCCTTTCCGTGAAACAAGGCCTGAATTCAAACAGAGGACTGTTGTTTGTAAGGTAGGGCATATGGCCACCCTAGGATCCCTGTCTGATTACTTTTTTGAATCAGGGTAGCCTTTCCTCACTTTGTGCCCTCCAGGTCTTTTGGTCCAGAACTTCCTGATCTTTAACTTGAGCTTGAACAAATGGGATTTGAACTCCAAAACATTTGGAGAGCACCAGCTGGGAAAGGCTGCTTAAGCTTAGAACATAAAAAAGCCCTGCTGGATCAGACCAATGGTCCATTCTGTCCAGAACTCTGTGCCCACAGTGGCAAACCAGCTGTCCACAGAATCCCTCAGCAGGACGGGTACAAGACTCCGCCCAGCCAAGTTTCTCAACAACTGGTCTGCACAGGCATGCCGACTCTGATAATGGAAGTAGCACTTAGCCAACAAGGCTAGTAGCCATTGATAGCCTTTGCCTCCATGTATTTATATTTGTCCAATCCAGTTTTAAAACCATCCAACGCAGTGACCATCACTACCTCCAATGGCAGTGAATTCTATAGTTTAACCATGCACTGAGAGGTCAATGTTTTCACAACTCAACCACAAAGCATGAAATTCATATAGTATTTGTGATTCTTTATATTGAACCAATCATCTGATGATGACTGTGTGTGAATATACCCTTGCAATCCTCTTATGCATACTTCATGTTTGTTGAAAGCTCTTACTTCCCTGACATATAATAGGGAAAAGCATCTTTTTAAGTTAGTGAAGCTCTTTGTTTAAGGCACACAAGAGGATGTCCCAAAAAGCGTGATATTCAACATGATGAATGCCGGCCAAGTTCTTCCAATGAACTCGCTCCCCCCCCCCCCCCACACACACACACTTGAAAAGTCTTTCCAAAGGGCCTTTGGTGTGTCCATGCATGCATGCATATCCAGCATTGTGGGTTGTGGTTCATGGGTGGTGGGTGGGGGGAGAAGGGAACCACCCAACCTTAGAAAGAGCAATTCTACACCACTTGTGCAAGGTTCCTGATTATTAGGAACTTCCCTCTCCCAGTGCAGCCCCATAAAGTTCAGCCCACAATATTGCAGGAGGTTACCCAAACCTTTGGAGTAACTTTTCAGGGAGCACGAAGGGAAGGAGTGGAAGATTTGTTGCATGAGCTTGACTTCCATTCATACAACAGTAGGCATCACTCAGCATTGCTCTTGATTGCCACTAATATTTCAGTATTAAAACTGGTGTGAAAAAGTCTGTTGCTTTTTGAGGATTTTGAAAAACCTGCCATTAAGGCCAGAATTGTGTGTGCACTTAACTTGGAAGAAAACCACATGAAATCAAGAGCCATATGCCTAGTTTTCCTGAGATGGTAAAGCCGTCTCTGGTTATAATAATTCTGATTTTTGCCAATATTTCATTGGTTGCAGAACAAGCACCAAAATCCCTGCATAGATGAAAGGATGTGGATTTGTATTGGTATCAAGGAACATTCAGTCATGTGAGTCTGCAGTCTGAAGTAGTGCAACTCTAACCAGGGTTGCATTAATTCAATGAGAATTAAGCTTTACTTACAAAGAAACATAGAAAGGACAGACTGTGAAAGTCATGGAAATCTATAATCATAATTTCTCATGCTTAAAAGGTCATCCAGACTGAACATTTAAGCACTTTCAAGGGACAAATTAAATCACCACTTGGAAATATTCTGAAATAGGTATGAGCTCCCTTCAGAAATATTAGGATGGTGACATTCATAGAGTCCTGCATTATTGTATTCCGTGCCCTATTGGTGCATAAATACAAGCTGTTTAAGGTAATTCTACTGTTTAAAAATATATTTCACAGAACTGACCATGATTTAATGCCAACTTAACATGTACTTGAGTTGCATCAAGTTATATGCATAGAATAGATACTATTCTGCATCCTCTCCCTCCATCTCCCTGCAACCTCCACTTCAAGTTTTCTTCTGGTGGAACTTTTGAAGAGCATGTGGGGAGAGGGAGCTGAAATAGGGCAAGAGGATGCATAAATCCTGTTTGGCCAGTTGTTCCATTCCATAGAAATGATAAGGAAACTGGTGGAACCCTAAGTGTTCTGCTGAAGTCTCGAAGCCGTATGTTTATGAACATAAACTCTTTTAAAATAGACACAGATAAACACAGTTAGATTAAATTAAATTCTGACTAGGTATACCCTTAAAAAATCCAGACAGGGAATCCTAGGGGAAATATACACACTCACATTCTTGGTCTGTTACTGCACACTCTATACTTCAGCCTTCCTGCTGCCTTCATTAATGCTGAAAGCATGCTCCTTGCTTTCACATGACTATTCCATTACAACCTTCTCTCATACCTTCTTCCTATTTAAGAAGGCATAAGAGAAGAGTTTAAAAAAAAAGAAAGAATGAAAAAGCACACTGAAGCTTCCAAAGATATTTGATGTTATTTGCAAAGTGCATTTTGAAAATGGCTGAAAACCAGGTCCTTTTAGCAGTACACTTGACCACAAATATATATACAACATATCAACCTTTATAATAAAGAAAATAACGGCAGTTCTGAAAGTGCAAACCAAAGACGTGTACAGCTTCCCCAATCAAAGGTAAACTATTATATACAAAAACAAAGCATTATTTTTATAGATGAGCTCAGCTGAGTACTAGTTCCTTCTGTATAAGACCCTTATCTGGACCTCTTTTCTTTCCAATTCAGCTTCCAGGATTTCTCCCCAGGTATCAACATCCATAGGATACATGCTCTTTTCTGGCAAACCACTTCGGGAATGAATATTGCTATATTTTCCACTCAACCATTCATTCTTCACTTTGCTTTTCCAGTAGTTTCTCAGCAGTGTGACCTAACAAAAGTAAATGGGGGAGAAAGACAAGAAAAAAGAAATTGAAGGACAACTCAAAGTCCCTTAACTGTACCAGAAAGCAAAGTTTGCCAATCAGAATGTAGCTTACATACAACTTAAAACCAATGTTAGATTTCCTCCTTATCTTTAAATTTAAATTCATTTTCAAGGCACCATATTCCTATTGTCATGTTTGAAACTAAAACACATTTGAAGATCTCATGCTGATTATGAAAATGCATATGCAAATATTGTTAATGAACAACAGAAGATGGAAGAATCATTCTAAGCAATATAAGTTTTAGATTTGCATTGCAAAATTTCTTTAAATGTTACCTATTTCATAACTGAGAATGACTTAGTCCAGAAAATTGTGCTCCACTGCAATCCTATGCTAATTTACCTGGTATTTTCATTGAATTCAGTGGGGCTTATTGAAGAGCAGGGATGTATAGGGTTGCACTGTCACAATTTAGAATGGACTCCTATAAACAAGATATACTACTGCCCACTAGTGGACCACGGAAACTTTACACTCTCATGGTGCAAAATTAAGGTCCTCCCATAGGTACATTCTTTTTATTGAAACCCCAAAGACAGTTTTTAAAATTGGAGTACAGAAGTGGTGGGTGGAAGGAGCTAAGCTCTTTCCCTTCGTGTCAGTTCTCCACTCTGAATCACATGCCCGCACCACCCAAACATTTTTCTCATTAAAATGCACAATCATTTCTTACATTTCATCAGGATTTTCATGCTTCAGCACTTTTGCATATGACGTTTAAAATGGATCATGTTGCTTATTCTGCAGACTTAATCCAAAACTGACCAGAATGCTCATTCCCATCACAAATGCTTCTCTTCCACTTTTTCTCCTTTGTTATCAACAATCAGGTATTTTGATCCATCAGTGATGGGGAGCTGATCTATATCACTGGCTACATGGGTTGGGATGAGAGTTGTACCAGTACCTGGAGGTCCAAATGGTTCCCATTCCTGATACAGTATAAGAGAAGTGGAAAGCTGATTCCAGCCCATTTGCGGTTCAGACAACACGTTTTCTCTTCCCTGCCTTTTGTTATATGCCTTATAAGGTTAATGTGTTGACTGTGATGTATAGTTGAAGCTCATGTGGGGTAAGCTGACCATAAGATGAATAAACATATTCCTGTAGACAGCTGTAGACAGAACTTAGTATCTGTCTATTTATGTAGTATTTTTCTTTCAAAGCTAGAGCTATGTGCCTCCTGCTTGTAGACAAGAAGTGGACAACTTTTGGTCATCCACATGTTTTGGCCTACAATTCCCATCAGCCCTAACCACATAGTCAGTAGTTACTTTATGGGTGTTCTTGAACAAAGTATCTGCATGGCTACAACTTGCCCACCTCTACTGTAGAACTTTGTGGATTTCAAGGTAATAGCTGATTTGACCCTTAAAGTATAAAGACTTTAAAGTTGCTTCTTGTGATAAATGAACAGAACAGAGGGATTACTAAAAGCTCGGTTGAGATGGTGCCTCTTAAGACTGCCTTGCTTTTGCCCCAGAAGGGTAGACTGGTGTGGGCAAATATGGAACTCCTCCTTTGCATCTACTTCTTCTGTTGTAGCATCAACAGCTGTATGAGAAGATGGAGAAACAATGATGAAAAATCTTCCCAACCACTAAACCCATAACTGCTACATGATGACAGGGGTTGCTTTTTTAATGGACAAAACTTAGCTACCTGTTAGCCCAGGAGGATTTTCCACTAAGAGGAAAGATCCTAAAAACAGCCTGATCCTGCCCTTTCTTTCAAGAGCCAAGCAGGACAGCTCAGCTTTGCTTACACCTTCAGCAGCTATAATACTTGTTGTTGTTGTTGTTAGTCGCGAAGTCGGGTCCGACCCATCGCGACCCCATGGACAACATTCCTCCAGGCCTTCCTGTCCTCCACCATCCCCCGGAGTCCACTTAAGTTCATACCAACTGCTTCAGTGACTCCATCTAGCCACCTCATTCTCTGCCATCAATATCTTCTTTTGCCACCTATTGTTCCCAGCATTAGACTCTTCTCCAGGGAGTCCTTCCTTCGCATTAGGTGGCCAAAATATTTGAGTTTCATCTTCAGGATCTGGCCTTCTAAAGAACAGTCAGGGTTGATCTCCTTTAGGACTGACTGGTTTATCTCCTTGCAGTCCAAGGGACTCGCAGGAGTCTCCTCCAGCACCACAATTCAAAGGCCTCAATCCTTTGGCACACAGCCTTCCTTATGGTCCAACTTTCACAGCCGTACATTGCAACTGGGAAAACCATAGCCTTGACTATACACACTTTTGTTGGCAGGGTGATGTCTCTGCTTTTTAGTATGCTGTCTAGATTTGCCATAGTTTTCCTCCCCAGGGCAAGCGTCTTTTAATTTCTTGGCTGCAGTCCACATCTGCGGTGATCTTGGAGCCCAATATAAAATCTGTCACTACTTCCATTTCTTCCCCATCTATTTGCCAGGGAGTGAGAGGACCGGATGCCATGATCTTAGTTTTCTTAATGTTGAGTTTCAAGCCAACTTTTGCACTCTCCTCCTTCACCCGCATCAAGAGACTCTTTAGTTCCTCTTCACTTTCTGCCATGAGAGTGGTATCATCTGCATATCTGAGGTTGTTGATATTTCTCCCAGCAATCTTAATTCCAACTGGTGATTCATCTAGCCCCGCCTTTCTCATGATGCTTCTCTGCATATAAGTTAAATAAGCAGGGCGACAGTATTCAGCCTTGCCAAACTCCTTTCTCAGTTTTGAACCAATCAGTGGTTCCGTGTCCAGTTCTCACTGTTGCTTCTTGACCCGCATATAGGTTTCTCAAGAGACAAATAAGATGGCCTCGTACTCCCATCTCTTTAAGAACTTGCCACAATTTGTTGTGATCCACACAATCAAAGGCTTTAGCATGATCAATGAAGCAGAAGTAGATGTTTTTCTGGAACTCCCTAGCTTTCTCCATGATCCAGCATATGTTGGCAATTTGAACTCTAGTTCCTCTCCCTCTTCGAAAGCCTGCCTGTACTTCTGGTAGTTCTCGTTCCACATACTGCTGGAGCCTAGCTTGTAGGATTTTGAGCATAACTTTGCTAGCATGTGAAATGAGTGCAATGGTGCGGTAGTTTGAACATTCTTTGGCATTGCCCTTCTTTAGGATCGGAATGTAAACTGACCTTTTCCAATACTGTGGCCACTGTTGTTTTCCAAATTTCCAGAGATCTCTGGTCCTCCCTATTCTATTGTTTTCTTCTATTTCTTTGCACTGTTCATTTAAGAAGGCATTCTTATCTCTTCTAGCTATTCTCTGGAATTCTGCATTCAGTTGGGTGTATCTTTCTCTTTCTCCCTTGCCTTTCGCTTCCCTTCTTTCCTCAGCTATTTGTAAAGCTTCCTCAGACAGCCATTTTGCTTTCTTGCATTTCTTCTTCTTTGGGATGGCTTTAGTTGCTGCCTCTTGTACAATGTTGCGAACCTCCGTCCATAGTTCTTCAGGCACTGTGTCTATCAGATCTAATTCCTTAAATCTATTTGTCACCTGTACTGTATATTCATCAGGGATATGATTTAGGTCATACCTGAGTGGTCTAGTGCTTTCCCTACTTTCTTCAACTTAAGCCTAAATTTTGCAACCAGAAGCTCATGATCTGAGCCACAGTCAGCTCCTCGTCTAGTTTTTACTGACTGTATAGAGCTTCTCCATCTTTGCCTGCAGAGCACATAGTCAATTTGATTTCTGTGTTGACCGTCTGGTGATGTCCATGTGTAGAGTCGTCTCTTGGGTTGCTGGAAAAGAGTGTTTGCTATGACCATCGTATTCTCTTGACAAAATTCTACCAGCCTGTGCCCTGCTTCATTTTGTACTCCAAGGCCAAACTTGCCTGTTATTCCGGTTACCTTTTGGCTTCCTACTTTAGCATTCCAATCCTCCATGATGATAAGGACATCATTTTTGGGTGTTAATTCTGGAAGGTGTTGTAGACCTTCATAGAACTGGTCAACTTCAGCCTCTTCAGCACCAGTGGTTGGGGCATAGACTTGGACTATTGTGATGTTGAATGGTTTGCCTTGGATTCGAACTGAAATCATTCTGTCATTTTGGAGACTGTATCCCAGTACTGCTTTTCCTACTCTTTTATTGACTATGAAGGCTACTCCATTTCTTCTGAGGGATTCTTGCCCACAGTAGTATACCTGATGGTCATCTGAATTAAATTCACCCATTCCTGTCCATTTCAGTTCACTGATTCCTAAGATGTCAATGTGCAGTCTTGTCATCTCTTGTTTGACCACACCCAGCTTGCCTTGATTCATGGATCTTACATTCCAGGTTCCTATGGAGTATAGATCTTTGCAGCTTTGAACTCTCCTTTCACCACCAGATACATCGGCAACTGAGTGTCCTTTCGGCTTTGACCCAGTCGCTTCATTCTTTCTGGCGCTACTAGTACTAGCCCTCTGCTCTTCCCCAGTAGCATATTGGACACCTTCCGACCTGAGGGGCTTATCTTCCGGTGTCATATCTTCTTGCCTTTTGGTACTGTCCATGGGGTTTTCATGGCAAAGATACTGGAGTAGGTTGCCATTTCCTTCTCCAGTGGATCACGTTTTGTCAGAGCTCTCTGCTATGACCTGTCCGTCTTGGGTGACCCTGCACGGCATAGCTCATAGCTTCATTGAGCTACGCAAGCCCCTTCGCCACGACAAGGCAGTGATCCATGAAGGAGGCTATAATACTAGCCTTATGCTAAAACAAAGAGAAAATTGGAGCCACATAGGATGCATAGGCATAAAAGACTGACAGTGACTCCATCACCTCCCACTTTAAAAGGTGGACTCCTTAGCACAAGGAAGGAAGGAAAATGTTCCAGGAATTGGTGCTTAAAGCATGACCACAGTGCAAATGTAGAACATCTACCTTCAAAAGTCTTGGCAATATAGTGTTCTCTTTCTTGTGCAAAGAAAAAGAAAAAAATAAAGGAAAAAGGAAAAAGGGGGAAATGGAAAAGGGGGGTGGGGAGCCCAAATGAGAACCTGCCTGTGAAACATGGTACTTGGGATGATTGACAAATGGTAACTGTGGCATATTTGGGCACTTCAGGTTTTTGACTGAAGATCTGGATGTAAGAGGGTACCTACTCTCAAAGATCAAACATACCTTCCACGAATACCCATTTCCTCTGTCACCATCAATCTCTCGCTGACAGACAACCCTTATGCTCAAACAATGAGGTTTCCATAAATTATCACAGTTCTCAATGGTCCGGTTCCAGCTCCTGCATGTCATGGAAGCATTGCATAAGCTCCGAATGTCAAGTTCACTAAAAATCTTTAAGCTGATTTCTAGCGGGAACAGCTGCACAAAATCCCCTTGACTTCTTTTTGTCTTCTGCTCAGGAGATTTAACAGACAATTCCTTACACGTAGTACTAGCAACAGTCTGTCTGTTTCTTCTGGAAGGTGTCTGTTTACAGCCTCTCCTCATAGCTTAGATCTTGCTCAATTACCAGTCACCCTTTCTGAAAAAGTAAAATGGTTAATGAAACATGTGGAAACCAAAATGGAGTAAGTAACATCAACTCTGCTTGAAAACAACTTGTTGATATTTTGCAGTATTAAAAGTAGCTAAACTAATAATACCATTTATACACAAAAGTTATGTTGCTGTTTCACCTATGCCAGAATAAATGGAAGTTTTTAAAATGCCACAAGATGTTTCAATGTTCTGGCTGTAATGGTCTAACATGATAGCAACTGTCCGAGAAACTAATGTTTGGAACTGAGATGGGAAAAATTGCTGATCTGAGGCATCAGCATATTGCTGTGAGTTGTATCTGACTCAACAAGCAATTATGGTTGTTGTTTCTTCTATAGCATGGGTCCTCAAACTACGGCCCTGGCTCGCCATGCCTATTTATCCAGCCCACGGCACCGCCCGCGTGCTCGCCGCTGACTTGCCGCATGGGCGGGGAGGCGGTGGCTTGCTCGCTCTGAGGTGGTTTTGAACTTGCTGGGAGATCTCCGAGCGAGAGAACCCCCGCTGCACACGCCCAATGCCACCTCACTGGCCTGTGCCCCCAGGCACCCCTGCCTCACTGGCCCACGCCAGTCGCTGCCACCTTTCAACTGCCCCCCTATTGAAAAAGTTTGAGGATCCCTGTTCCATAGCATCAGTATTATTTGCTGCCTAATTTTAAATTGTCCATTGTGTAGAGCAATTCCTGGCAGGATTACTTTGATAAAACTGGCTGGCTGAAAACCATAACAGCAATGAAGGAGAAGGGAGCTCAAGAAGTTCATGTGATGGGTGGTACTGTGCAGTACCTGATTCCTCTGATTGCTTTGTGAGGGACTGTAGCTGAGATGCTATAATAAACTGCAAACCTGCATCACTAAGATATACATCTTGTTTGTTAAAGGACTGTTAAGAAGAATCCTGTTGGCAGGCTCCTAAAGGACTACTAATACAACAGGAGCTGTTCTGCTCAGCTGTTCAGTTGTTCAACTAAAAGCAAACCAATGGCCAAATCTTGCCACGCTTTTTGATCCAGTGTCACCTCTTTCAGCTGAACCATGCTCTGGCCTGCATCCTCTTTGATGGAGTCTAACCACCTTGCTCTCTGGCGACCTGGTTTTCTCTTGCCGCTGAGCAGTCCAAGCATTATATCTTTTTTCTAATGAACTTGATCATATGATGTGGCCAAAATAAGTGAGCCTCAGTTTTGTTATCCTGCTGACCAGGGATGCATCTGAATTAATATGCTCTAGCACCTACTTGTTCATCATCACTGCTGTCCATGGAATGCCCAGGAGCCTCTACCAACACCATAGCTCAAAGCAGTGCAGTGTCTGTAACTTAGGGGCCAACACACTCAGATTATTTTTTATAAAGCTGCCCCACACTCTTTGTAACAAGATTTGCAATATAGTTCTTAGGGTTGTCAATTTTGATTTTACAAATAAAAATAACATCATTTGTCCCTGCTAGCAAAGGAAAGTGATGCTGTTTAGTAAGTCAACAGAAGAGCTAGGGAGAAAATCTAAAGGAATAGGCTAGTGTCCAGCCATGATAGAAACTAATGTTATAAGTATAGCGTTATAGGCTGAGTCTGCCCAATCTGGAGGTTACTGGCTTTTCAGCTCTGATGCACAAAATCAATAGGTATAACCTACACAGTTATGATCATGCAAATATCAACATATAGCTGGACCAGAAAAAGAACATCCTTTTCTTTAGACATCAGCATGTGTGCATCCTTGAAATGTAGCTGACTCTAAACCAGGCATCATTGCAGAGATAACAGCTCAGACAAAGGGTAATTCACCCTACCCCACTTCATCCTCCTCCTCCTCCTCCTCAGAACAACACCCTATTCTCCTCCCCTCCTTGAAAGAAATTTCTTTCTCCTTGGAATGCAGGCAGGAAAGATGATATAGCTTTTTCATTATTTATTTATTTATTTATTTATTATTTATTAAAACATTTTAGTTTTATAACCTGTTAGAAAGTGTTAACTGTATTAAGTGGAATATTTTAATGAACAATATATAAAAGGGCCAACTGAGGACTGCTCAGGTGCACCATCTGGAACTATTTGTTGGTAGCCAATTCTTCTTGATAATAAATCCTTTAAAAGAAAACCTTCCCTTATTTGTGTATTTTGGGCATATGCACACCAGAACACAGACCTTTTGGTCAACACCACTGTTGTTAGTTATGTGACAAAACACTATTTGATTTCTATATATTAGCTGGTTGGTAAGCCTTAGAATTTTTATCACCTCAAATGCTAAGCCACAGGTGCACACAGCCTGACAAGTCAAGTCAAATGGCTCAGTACTTGTACTGTTGACTCTTGATTACTGCAGCCTAGCAAGCCTAGGAGTGTGGCTGGAAAGGAACAGGGGATGTAACCAGTGGACTTTGCATTTTCTTGCTGGTATGGGGTGGGGCACAGCTTCTTATGCCCTTGCAGCAAAGGAGGAAACCTTAGTGATGGCACTTGTAGGAAAGTTGTGGAAACAGGGGTAGGAATACAAGGGAATGATGACAGTTGGAGCAGGATGTGCAGTCAAATTATTCAGTGAAAGATGAACAACTAGGGTTCGTAGATGCACAGTATAGATGATTTTTTGCACAGAAAGGGTATGTAAATACCAAACAGGCAATACATGTAACATAGCCTTTGCAGTCCATTTAGGATGTGCAACAGTTACCCACAGAGGTACCTCATGTCATGTGTAAAGGGGAAAAAAGGCAATAGTAAACATGTTAAGGCAATCAGGGTGTACTGATTACCATGCCAAGATTTAAGTTTGGCAGTGCATGCATCTGGATCGGAGGAAACAGACTTCCCCATTCTGCCTCGCTAGGGTAGTTCCTTCAACCGTCTAAACATCTTGCACAGAAAGTCAGGAAACCATATTGAATGGGTTGGAATGTGGTGTGGGGAGAGAACTCACAACAATTCCGGATCCAGGGGGCAGAGAGCCTGAATGCAGGCTATCTGGTGATTAAACCTTCCACTTTTCAACCAGTGGGCTTGCGTGCGTGGCCAGGTGTGCCCCGAACAAGCTCTTGAGGACCCTTTTCAGCATTATTGCACTCACTCAGGATGGCTGAAAAATCGGATCATTCTTAATATATGTACTTTTTGTTTAACTGTGCAGATGAAGTTGATGTGAAATAAAGGGGTGCGGTATGTGGCTGGGAGAAAGGGGAAGGGCGGGTGGAGGAGGCTTTATAGACCTGCCAGCGCCAGAAAGTGCTCGGGGTCACTGCATGGCGAAGGGAAGGACGCGGGCGCAGGTGCTGCGGTGCGCGGCGGGGACCCGCTGCCAGCCACCCCGGCGAAGCTTTTTCGAGCGGAGGCGAGCGAGCTCAGGCGGCCCCCTCGGTGTTTACACCGACAGCTGCTTGGCGTGCTTTCCCACCCTAAGAGCACTGCGGCCAATCGGAGCCTCGGAGCACGCCCCCCACCCTGTTTTGCTGCGGCGCCCTCTTAGGGGATTGGATGGCTGAGAGCTCGCGACGCCTTCTCGCCACGCAGCAGCCGCGGGAGCTCCTCGCGTCGCCGCCTGTCACTCACCTGGCTCAGCTCTGTCCGCTCAGTTTCCGTTAACGGCTTAAACGTCTCCTCCATTCGAAAGACTTTGTTTACCCCCCTTCCCTTTCCCGACCCGAGTGACGCAATCAGAGAAAAGGCGTTCTCGGGTGCTCTGCTGCCGAGCATTGTGGGAGTTGTAGTTTGGTAGCGAGGCGGGAACTTCCGAGATGAGCTTGTTTCGGTGCGTGTGTTTGACCTACTCTCCTTTAGAGGCGGACCGTGAGATATATCGGAACTCTTCTTCCTAGTTCAGCTTATGAGAGGGGAGGGGGAGAGAGGGACGGACGGTACGTTGCCATTTTTGGTCCCCCATGCGGAACCCTGAGGCGAGCAGGAGGGCTTGTCAGCATGCCAGGGTTCGAGTTAGAGCCGGTGGCCGGGGGTTGTCCTGTGACGCTGCCCCCCGGCGAAACAGTGATAGGAAGAGGTGCCCTGTTGGGAGTAAGTACCATGGCGGTGCGCATCTGACGTGTGTGTGTGTGTGTGCGTGTGTGTGAGAGAGGGAGGGAGGGAGACTATTTATGGAAGCAACTCTTTTGATATGGTAGGTCACATAGTATATAGTTTCCATCAGCCTCAGCCTGCATGGCCAAGGGTAAGGGAAGATGGGAGCTGTAGTAAGAAACATAAGAACATCTGTTTGGAGTCCTTCATGACATCTCCTGCCTGAGATCCTTTTACCTGGCAATGCTGAGAAAGTTGAAAGTTGCCTAATGCAGCTAGGCCTAATATATAATCCTAGTGAGGGCCTTGCCTTTTGAAAACGGGCTGGTGGCAAATGCAGCCTTATTTCTTTAAAAGTTTTTTTTTTTTTTTTTGCGGGGTGGGGGAAGCTTTTAAAACGTGTTTTTAAAAAAAAAAAAAAAAAACCTTCAGTCAAAGTCTTCCCAGAGAGGCTTATATGAGACTGGTAATCATAAGTAGACAGTCTCTGCCTGTAGACTTACATTCTTAAATTACACAAAAGGGCCAAGGGGATGGGAAGAGGAACTGAACAAGCAAATCTGGACACCAGTACTTAAAGTGATATGCTTGTTATCATAACCATTATAAAGTCAACAGTTCGGGAAAGCAGAAATCAAAGATCAGTCAGTCAGTTTAATGCATTTAGCCATAGACCATTACAAGTTACCAGACTAAAACATTAAATTAACAAATAAAACCATAAATCAAATGTATTAAAGCATAAAACTAAAAGACCAGGTGTAATTCAGGACTGTGTTCCCTTCAAACTCTGGTTTCTCTTCAGAAATCAAAGGGAGCTGGGCTCTAAGCAGAGCTGGTGAAATAGGCTTTCCATCTCTTACTCTGCTGTAGCATACAGAATGGTGCTAGATGAAAGTTGAAGGAAGAAGGAGCCCTTCCTTCATTCACCACTTCAAACTGTGAAATTAGTAGTTTTGCTAAGTTAATTTTGTACACACACATGGTAATAAACCCTACTGAACTCAATGGGACTTACTGCTTGGTAGACTTACATAAGTTTGCACTGTAAGCATACTTGGACATAATATCAAAATCTTTGAATTGCGGATCTGGAGGGGATCAGCTCATCAACTTCCAACCCAACAGCATTTATATATGCTGGTATGAAATAAATGTTTAGAAAAATCATTTTAATAGCCTTTCTGTGAAGGTTGCATGAAGAGCCAGTGATGATGCAGAGCAGGCAGCTCAGAACCAAATCCCTACTCTGAGGAAATTTAACGGATGAACTTGGGCAACTCACTATCTCTGTTTGACCTATCTCACATGGGTCTAGAGTATAAAATGATGGCTGAGTGTGTTACCCATAGAGCTGTAGAAAAGAAGTGGGATAGAAATGTAATAGCAAGGCAGCATCCAAACCATTAAAAGACATTAATATTCTATATGCTTATTTCAGAGAGAATTCTTTAGCATTCAGTTGAAGGAAAATACAGCTAGGATTGGGTTGTTAAATCCTGATCTTGCAAGCATGTATCTAGAGTGCCATAAAGATGGCTGAATAACTTGGAGTGGGGTGAATGACACTGGGATGCTTTCCTTAAAAGTAGTAGCTCCTGTCCATTTCTTATTGCATAACCCAGTATGCATTTGAACTCTTACTACTTGCAATATGCAACATCCAGCTTGCCTTCATCAGTTCTTCAAGGACAATTGTATGTATTTATTGGGCTAGTTCACAGTACTCAGTCGGCATGGGTTGAGAAACTCTAGTACATGCTGGCTGCAGTTTTGGACAGGCAACCTCCAATGGGTGAGTGGTTGTGTTGTCCAGATCATGTTAACAGGATGTTCAGTTTTGGATGACAGGACAACTTTTGATGGGGTTGTTTGTGCTAAATGGTGTTCACAGGTGCTGTGGCTCTTTGTGAAATTAGTTCCCCCTTCATGAGTTCCATGTTCGATGAAGTGCAAATAATTGTGTTGGCCACTAGAGGTCGTAATACACTAATACTATGAATAGATCTCGGCTCCTTGCCTAATTTATTATACTTTTTCAAATCGACACATAATGTTATAGTTATCTGTTTGTAAGTAAGTGAAAGATGTTCCTGAGAAGCTACCTCTTTATGTTTTAGTTTTTTTTTTTTCATTTTATGTGTTCGTTGGGTTTGTGTGATTTGAACCCCGATTTTATATTGCACTTTTAACACATTTCCTACTTTAGTTATGATGGTGGTTTATTGATTTATGCTAAAATTCCCTTTGTAGGCCAGATAGGGTCATTAGATCATCTATGAAGGATGCCTATTAACGTGAATTTGGAGATGAAAGTGATTTATATCAAACAGATTTTCTCCTGGATAAGTAGTATTTTTCTTCTCTGCTCTGTTGAAATAAATCATGTAAAAAGAGTACTGGTACTCATCTGTACTGGTTGTCTTCTAGACTGCAGTCTTGAACTGTGTTCTGTTCATGTGTATGCTAGCCAGTGTGTTCAGTTGGGGAGCTGGGAAAAGCACGCTATTAGTTGTTTTTCATATTATGCCTTTTTCCATCCTTAAGAAGATGCCTTTTGCTACCTAGAACTTAAAATAATCCTGATTTTACTCTTTACTCCCCAGCCATCTATCCTCTAACACTATTCTGAAATATAAATTTATAGGTAGCCTCTTTCAGTTCTTACTTAGATATCTGAAACCCAGATTTAAGATTTTGATTTTATATAGCTGGCTTTTATGCAGGTTTTAACATGTCACTAGTAAAAGAGGGAAAATTATCTTTTCAACAAATTGTGTTCTTAGTTTATAAATTGTACAGTTGTTAATATTTTAGAGAGATTTCTTGATACAAGTTTTCTCACATCCCCATTGATGCTTTAACATCTGGCTGCCTTGTCTCTTTCCAGGTTACAGATAAGAGAGTATCCAGGAAGCATGCTATTCTGAAAGTGGATGGTGACCAGCTTAGCATTAAACCGGTAACTGACTGCTTCTTATATTACTGTCTATTAAAAAAATGAAAAATGTCACTTTTGTATGACTAGTGATACTGTACACCCCAGTGTACATCTTTTAAAGTAGGGATAAACATAGTATTGGATTTGAATTTATTCCAAATTTATTCAGGCATGAGTCTGATGCTGGCAGCCTTTGGACATCAAAGGAATTCTCAAGTTCTGTGCATTAGATATGCATTGTCATAGTGGCATGTAGAGATTTGCAGGGCTAAGAAAGAAGCAGATAAACATAGAATCAGCACCTCTTCTTAGGCCTAGTTCAGATTGTTCAGTTAAAGAACAGGCTTTGTTCTCATGCATTCTGATTCATTTATTTTCCTGTTTTGTGCAAATCATAGTTTACTGGTTTCCTATGTAAAGGTTGGTTTGCTCAAGCTAGGTACTGGGCAAATTAATTCAAAGTCAGGAGAAGAGGTAAGACATGAACTCAGCATACAGCATTGATAGCAAAACGATGGTTTTACCATACCATATGAATCAGGCAGTACAAATGTATGGATTACTGTGACAAAAGTGTGTGCATATGTAGCTAAAGTTTGTACTTTTAAGAACTATCCTAAGAAGGCAGGATACCTGCAAAAGTTCTGAGAAGACAAGTGCTATCTCTCTCTCTCTCTCTCTCTCTCTCTCTCTCTCTCTCTCTCTCTCTCTTTTCTCTTCTCCCCTGGTGTGCTGTATATGTGTGCGTATCTGTACATGTGCAGGCAAAATGTATGTCCCATTACTAATTTGGCTTAGCCACAGTCATGCACACACTGGTAACATCTCGGATGGAATATTGCAATGCACTTTAGTGCTGTGCTATGATTAGGTTATTGAGTTAGTGGCAAGGGCTGGGGCAATTGGGGATAGGACTTCACTGATGGTGATTTACATTATGTGAAGATGTAATATTGGTGTACCATAAATGGGTCAGAACCAATACCTAACAAGCTTAGGATTCAAACTGCTACCTATTCCTCATCTGCCATGACTTCAGCTCTGCTTGGTTTTCCCTCGATAATTCTGCCAGTGATAGGTACTGCAATTATATCTCTGGTGCTGTGCTAATGTAAGATGTTATTGAACATAATGTTCTTGCATCTCTCCAAAAGCTGTTCTTTAGGGCTTGAGGTTCCCTAGAATGTTGTGGAATGTCAGAGATGGGAGGGTAAGGAGAATTGGTGGGAATTCTGCGAGCGACACCTCTCTGGATCTTGCCTTTTAAAATAACATGTTTGGTATATGAACTCAAAATGCCTTGGCTGGGAGGAAGCAAATGTGGAGCATGTATTCTCATCTGTAGCTTTAAATAATATTGAACTATTTTTTTTCCTAACAAACTCTTATTAATGCATTGCAGTGGAACCAGAGTACTATAAATTTTTAAGAGGCACATCATAGTATTTGTACTCTTCTTAATTGGCAGGTTCATGTAAACCCTTGCTTTTATCAGCCAAATAAAAATGGCCAGCTGTTGCCACTGGACACAAATAAATGGCACCGATTGAGCCCAGGTGATAATTTTTCGCTATTAGTAGACAAATATGCCTTCAGAGTTATCTTCACTCCATCAGAGGTGAAAAGTCTGCTAAGGTAATGAAATCTAGTGGAAGCCTAGCTGTAGTTCTGAAATATTTAACTGTCAAGTTTTAGCTTTCTAAAATTTGTGTTATCTGTTGCACAAATATATTTCTATTAATTTAGCATATTAAATGGAAATGATGGCTGTTAGCTTTACTTTAATTGTGTACATTTCCTAAAAATATAATAGTTCTATGCTTGCAGGATATAATTAAGAGACATTGTATAGATATCCTGATGTACATGTATCTGTACCTTAAATCCCTAATCTGCCTATGAACTCTGGTGACTAAAAATGGAATTTTGTTTTGCAAATAGAAAATAGATACTGAGAATTGCTGTCAGAAGCTTACATGGAAAAGTATATAATCACCGTGCCACCAGACTTTTCTTTGCCCTATCCAAGAGCTAAGAAAATTGCTTTTTTATCTGATAAATGAAATGAGGCAGCATTGTTGGCTCTGTTAAAGGAGACATGAAACATTGCTTTCAGTACACAGAGCAGTGAATGTAGTGCACTTAATGTAACATAATATATCCAGTTATTTTCCACTTCCATGAAACTAGGCTTATATAAAGTAGAAAAGATATTATGGTAACCCATGCAATGTACATGCATAAGCATGCTTGACGGCTTGTATGTATGATGAATGAGACTAAGAATTGGCTCGACTGTACTAGTATAGAAAACATTATTTCAAGCAACTGACTTTGGATAAAAGTTCTGTGCTTTGAGGAAACTGAAGTTTGCATCAGATGTTAGATTTTAATGGACACGTTATTGGAGATTTCATTTCCATGACTTTGGGGATCTCACCAGTGAACTGGCAGAAGTTCCAAACAATTGACCAAATGTCATTTCCATTCTTCAATATGTTTTACTTTGATATTGATAGCTGCATTGGCAGTTTAAAGGGTATGAATATGTAACAGTTTTTCCTTATTCTCTAATATAAAGTTCTGCATCTTGCTGCTTTCAATTGTATTTAGAGTAGAATCATGCTGCAGTAAAATTAATATATAAATAAGTAAGATAGCCGCACTAATCCGTCAGGGATAAAACCACAGTGAAGCAATAAGATGGTGCAAAAAGCAGTGGGGAGCAGGGATGGGACCGAAAAGGACAACACTCTGGCCATGAGGCCTGCAGTTCATGCATGGTTTCAAAATACAGACTGCCGCCCGAATGAGTGAGTCACGGGTAGGTGTTGCAGATGCTAAGTAACACCTAGCATTCTGGGATGTAGAAGAATGGCTGACCGGAAAAGCATAAAAGACCAGCCATACCTCAGATTTGCCTTGGCAAAACACATGGGTTCCTGAGTAGACAGAGAAACAAGACATCCCTTATGTTAGCAAAACTCAGTACAGGCCGTCTCTGAGTTATGAATGTCTGCGGTATGAACAATCTGTACTTAAAAATGAGATAATAAAGCTTAGTGATTAAAAATATTGTGGAAAATTGTAATCACCTTAGAGAGAGAGAGAGAGAAGAAGAAGAGAAAGGAAAGAGAGGAATGGCCTCCAAAGCATTGTCAGAGAGAGGGGAAGTGAAAGGGGAGTGAGGGAGGTCTTCCTGCCTTGCTCATCTGGAGAGGGAAATCTCCCCAGCTTTTCCTTGCTGCAAAGAGGATGCACTCATGAGTCTGGAGGGTGGGGCTAGAGGTATTTGCAGTTTTTCCACTTCCATAAGGGTCCTGTGCCCCTAACCTTTGTGAATATGGAGGGCTGATTATTCATTATTGTACTTTCATACAATTTTGAGTTTAAGACAAATTTTCAAGTTCTCAGGAACAGAGCTAGTTTGTAACCCTGGGGATTCCTTGTAGTTCATTAGGTAGAATTGTTAACTGAAGCCAGATTGTTCAGCTTTGTTTAGTGGCTGGGGGCAATGGAAGCCTTGAGAAGCAGTGATCCCCTTAAGTGGTAGAAAACAATCAAAGAACAGTCAAAGTCTGGTGTGTATTTTCTGGCCCCATTGATTTTAATAAAAGAAAATTAAGCACATCTGTAACTCTCACAGAAATATAGGGTCCTAAAAATACTGAATTTTGGCTGGATTGTGAGTTAAATTTTCAAGTCTGCTGTGCTTTTACTAACTGTAATTAGTTGTACACCAATAGTATTGCTTTCTAATAAAAGGCTTATTACCGTACAATAGGAAAAGTTGTAATCCCTCTGTAGAAGATGGAACAAGTCAAACTCCCTCAACACTTCAGCCAACTAAGATGCCTTGTCAACAGCCTTCAGAACAGCAAATAGCCTCTTCTATCAGCAGCCAACTTCTGGAAGTACATTCCGTGTTAGAAAAAGCAGCTGAAATTCCAAAGAAGGTAACTTCTAAAAATCAAGGTGCATAGCGGACTTTAATAGGTTGTGTTTTTATTAATGGGCATTTGAATCCAGTTCTATGGCAAGGCTGGTATGATCACATGTCATGAAAGCTGATATAGAATTATTAATTTTGAAGGGGCTTTTTTCAGTCAAGGTACTTGTGATCTTGTCTCATTAATTTGTCATTAATGATTTTGTCTTTTAAGACTTGCTTTCCTTCTTACATAAGGAAATGCATTTACAGCCCCTTGGACTTGTTTCTGATCAATAGGGAAGAGTTAGCAGGAATCCTGAAGGGAAAGGGGACATGTAATGGTTGAGTTCTTGATTTTAAGAAAAACTTAAGATTAAGTTTAAGTTTAAGGTATACATAGTCACATGTATACCCTGGACTTCAGGAAAGCTGCTTTTAATAAATTCAGAGTAGTAGGTAGGATTGATTAGCAGGAAAACTTTAAAGGAAAGGACATTCTAAAGGGATGGGAATAGCTAAAAAAGGAATAGCTAAGATGCAATCAGAAACATAGCCAGTGCTGAGAAAAAATGGAAAACAACAGAAAGAGTCAATGTAGCAACATAAAGTGCACAGCAATAATCTGAAAATAAAAGGGGGAAGGTGGGCAGGTCACTAACGAAGAGTACAGGAAGATAACCCAGATTACAGAGATGGTGCCAGGAAGGCTGAAGTTCAGAAAGAGTGGAGGTTGGCAGGAGATGCTATCACAGGTTAGCTTCAGTTAAGGGTTAAGGGAAGACAAAAGTAATAATAGAGCAGCTGCATGGTAAAGATGGCAAAATGCTGACAGATAACAAAGAAAAGGTAGAACTGCTGAAATTCTATTTTGGCTCAGTCTTTTCCCAAAAGTGGATGTGTCCCATCTGGTGTATGTGACAAACAGTGTGACAAGGTGAGAGAACACCTTGAGGTTGACCGAGAGATCATCAGGGGCTATATAAGCACCTTCGATAGCTTCAGTTTTATCTTAGGTTTTTGAAAGAGCTAGCGGATGGACTCTCAAAACCTCTGTCTTTGAGAAATCTTGAAGAATAGATGAATTACCAGAGGAGGACAAATGTTGCCCCTCTCTTCAAAAAGGAAGAAGCAGGGAGTGATAGACCAATCACTTTGGCAATAGTACCTGGGAAGGTTCTACAGCAGGTTATAAAGTGGGCACCTTTACATTAATCCAGTGATCATTAGATATCAGCATGGACTTGTCAAGAACAAATTCTGCCAGACCAACCTCATTTCATGAGTTTTTTGAGTAATTTCCTAAGCAGATCGTAGAAATGCTGTGGGCACAATGTATTTTGACTTCAGTGAGACATTTGGCAAAGCATCCCATGGTATCCTAATTAGCCAGCTAGTTAGGTGTGGGTTGGAGTGCATTACTACTCAGTGGATCCATAACTAGCCGGACAACTGTATGCAGGAAGTATACATTACTGTTTCTTCATCAAAATGGAGGGGAGGTATTGAGTAGAGTGCTGCAGCTCAGTCTTGGCAACTGTATCCTACATAATTTCTATTAATGACTTGGAAGAAGAAGTGGGGGAATTGCTCATGGAATGTGAAGAAGTTACAAAATTGGGTGGAATAGCTAACATTTTAGAAGACAAAAAACAGCAATCAAAATGACCTTGATAGGGTTGAAAACTTGGAAGAAAATTAACAACATTGTTTAACAAGGACAAGTGCCTAGTTCTCCATTTAGGAGAAAGAAATCAGAAGCACAGTTATAAAAAGGGGATTACTTGGCTTGGCAATAGTGCATGTGAAAAGGAGTTGTAGTTGGACACAAGCTGAATGTGAGTTAACAGTGTGCAGTGGTGAAAAAACAGCAAATGTGATTTCAGTTTTTGTCAATTGCAGGATAGTTTCAAAATAAAAAAGCAATAGTTCCACTCTGTTTTGCATTGGTCAGACCTCATCTCAAATGCTGTGTCATACCACATGTGAAGAAAGTTTAACATATATTAGAATGAACTTGGAGAAGGGAAGCAAAGGTAATCATAGACTAGAAATTAAGTCTTACAAGGAGAGATTGAAGAAACTGGGTGGCTGTGAGAAGGCTGAGGCAGGGGGTGGGTATGATAACACTTTTAAAGTACCTAAAAGGTTGTCACAAGCAAGAGGATTGCAACTATTTTCTGCAGGATATGAAATAAAGTGCTTAAGTTACTTGGAAGTCGATTTGCTTTAACATCAAGGGAAAACTTACTGTCAGAGCAGTTATACAATAGAAGCAACTTCTTAGAGAGGTGATGGGCTCTTCATTGCTGGAGATATTCAGGCAGACCAGGCAGTCATCTGTCAGGATTTAACAGCTGCTAATTCATGCAGCAAACAGAAGGCTAAGACATTGTGAGTGGTATTCTATCTCTTTAGATGGGTTAGCGCTTGGGTATTGACTTTATGTTTTGGAAATGATGTCTTTTAAAAAATCTCAAAACTTTATTGACATGTTTGCATGCATCCACTTATGGAAGCATGGAACATTATGAAATGTATAAGAGTCATTGAATCGTTCCTAATAAGAAAATATATAATGTGACCTTAATTTGTAAAGTCTTTCCAGTTTTCTGCTAGCATTTCTGAAAATGAAAAAACAAGGCCTACTCAGAGGAAAAGAGTGCTTCCAGAATGGATGTTGCAAGCAAACCTAATGGTTCAAAGTCCATCAATTTCAGTTCCTGGAAGAGGTGATTCTACTTACTATAGTAGTCTTGACTATTGTCTTTCATTATTTTTTAAAAAATATACTCAACACAGAGGTGTATATTCTTAACTTATTTTCAGTTTGAGAGCCAGTTTGGTGTAGTGGTTAAGAACGTGGGACTGGGACTCAGACGATCTGGCTTCCAGTCGCTGCTCAGCCGTGGAGCCAACTGGGTGACTTTGGGCCAGTCACAGACTCTCATCCCAAGGGTTGTTGTCTCTCAGGGTTGTTGTTGTGGGGGTAAAATTGAGAGCAGGAAGAAGAGAATTATGTAAGCCACTTTGCGTTCTTTAAAAAAGAAAAAGGTGGGATATAAATCTAAGAATTAATTAAATACAATTTGATATGATTGTGTTGTGTCCATGTCTTTGCCTCTGTCAGGTAAGATTCATAAGAGACAATTATAGCATGTTGAGATTCTGGGAACTGAACCCTGCCACATCTCTGCGTTTGATGTAGATGGTGCACGTGCATGTAAATTTCTGTACTCATAGGCCTAATAATACTCCATTATTAAAAATGGCAGAAATGTTCACAGATACAGCATCAACTATCTGTCAGCCTGGACATAATTCTATTCCCTTAGCTGCTTATCACGTTCACCTCTTTGGGAATGTGGTTGTTGTTCTCAACATTGTCTCTCCCCGCACCCCCACCCCCAGTGAGCTATATTCTCTGGATATTAAAAACTTGTAAACAACATGCTCTAAAATTTTGAGCTAATTTTAGCAAAGCTGGACCATCTGTTTTTTCAAGCCATTCTTACTAAATATTTTATCATTTCTAGAGTGATATGTCAACTCCAGGTTTACTAAGAAGATTATTTATTATTGCAATATATGCAAATGCTAGCTAGACTTCCATTACATTTAGCAGCAAGTCTCTTACACTGTGCAGCAGGGACCCCTGCAAGGTAGGATTCCGATCAGCTGAGTTCAGATAGAAACAGCAGAATCTCGCTCAAAAACAGTATGACCCAAAACACAAAGGGAAGTGGCTAGCTTATATAGGTTACAGACTTAAAAGTATTCAGAGCATGTGTACAGCATTCTGTGCAATGGCAAGATGCGTTTACTGGAAGTTTTGATGCAACTAGTTACATGGATGCTAAGGAGTAATGAAGTACAGTGAGCTAGTAAGGAGTATTCCTGTCTGGATAGCCAAGGTTCCATCTCTGTCTGAACGTCAGAGCATGGGCTCATTGCTGCCTCTTGCCTGCAGAAGTAATGCCTGATAAGGAATGTTCAAGGCTGAAGATGTGTACTGTGCATGTTTCTTGTGCCATCTTAATATCAGAAAAGGGAAACGCCTTAGTTCCATGAAAGCAGACAAGGGGCCAGGGCTCTATTGTTTATTGGAAGCCATTGTACTTTAATGCCAAGCAAAGCAAGAATTTTAAAGTGGTAGAGACACAGGCCTGGATTTTTAGGGTTCAGGCCTGTCACAGTGCGTAACAGCTGTTATACTGTAAATAGGTTAAGGAGCAATTCAGTTCACTTCAGTGTTGGGTGCCAGAACCCCAGATGAGAAGCAGGATTGCAGGATATATCTACTTAAGCAGAAGTATATATACTTAAGTTGCATGTACACTTTGATGATCCTGACCAAATACCACCAAGTATTGTAGGAATCCTTTTGCTATTTTTGCTAATGTCGGTTTTGTTGCTACTATTGTTAGCCACTAAGATAGGACCAACTAACAATGTTGGTAGTCAGTGAAGGAGCTGCTTTTGCATAGAGGTAAATAGCAGTGGGGGTGGGCAAACAGAAAGGATAACTGCAGCTAAAAGCACTGCTATAGCACGATCAGTTAAGTACCAGCATGTGAAGAAAGTGACATCTTTCCTCATAGGTGGATTTTTCTGCTAAATGTGACTACCTGCTAAGATAACCCCCACCCACTTTGAGTAGAAAAGTCACCCATTTTTCATGTTAGAGCTACAAAGGGCAAAGCAGTAGGTGAGACTGTAAATAGTCAACATGTGCTACCACAGTTTGCCTGTCTGTTGCTTTATATATCTGCATAGACTGGTCAAGGAAGACTTACTGTTAGTTAGGTTTTTACAGTGTACAAGGAAATCAATCTTGCTTGGGCAACCATAGCTAAGAAGTTACTAATTCTTTGGTTTCTGGCACTCCTCACTGGGAGTGGGTGTAGTGTTGATAGCTGAGAAGTGGGAAGTTTGCTTCTCTACTTTATTCAACAAAGAAAAGTGTTGGCAAAGTCTACAAGACTTCACCCTCCTACAGATCTCTGAATTTATATCAGAGCTCACAGAAGTGGCTAGCTATTCTTCCTTTCCTTCATATTGGCATATGACAAAGACAGACAGGTTTGACATTCTGCAGTGAGAGAGCTCAAGTCTTTTCCTTGCTACTGTAGGCCTTTGGTGGACATCTGCAGGCAGCAGACTACAATCACATGTGAGCAGACAGTTCCTGGCTCCCTGGGAAGTACCATTAACAATGTATTTTATATTTTATGCTAAGGACTAAAGAACAGAAGAAGTGCCATATAAAAAAAGCTTTAGGTCTTGACATATATAAGCAACAGCTGGGTTTAAGACTCCATTTAGTGGCCTTTAAGGAATTGCAACAGTCAGTTGTAGGACACTTTAAAAAGTGTGTTTTTTACATAAACACAATTCTTATTTCTTACCCACCACCGTTCAGCCAGATTGCACACATAAGCTCCATGTACAATTAGTAGTTAGGAGATCATACCACACAAAAGAATTAGTGCAGGTAGACTGTGCATTGATAGTAAACATCACATCAGAGACTAAAGGATCCAAGGGCTGTACAATGTTTGCTTTTGAGGATAATAATTTATGTAAATATAATTGGTTAGTCTGATTCAGTGTTCCTCCATTTGCTCAATACCTTTGTTTCCTCACTGAACCAGTAAACCAGAGCTGGAAAAATCTAGTATTTACTTTTCTTTAAATGAAGTGAATCTGATGCCCATGTACAGAAAAGAAAGGAAAAAAGGAAAACTGTTGTATGTTGGCAATACAATAGACAGTCCAAAAGTATGAACAGTTCTTATTCATCTGTCCATTGTAAAGTTTAGCATCTTGATGAAGACGACAACGAGAATATTACCATTGCAGCAGAGTATTGGGTTGTGGCTTATTCATGTTAACTTAGGTTTCAATGATGGCAGGCAAATATTACTGAAAACGTCATCCATAATAGCAAGTGCTTTGTAATTCACACTGATCATCAAGGCCATTGCACAGTTGTGCAGCCCGTTCAATATAAGCATCAGGATTTGTCTCCCAGGATGATGTTCCAAAAATGTCACTTTCTTTCATGATAGTATGCTCCTAATCACCTGTAGCACCATGGCAGATGCAAATAAGTCCATCTGTTCTGATAGGTGTTTTCTGAGTTTTAAAAGAGAGAGTCTTTGGCCAGTGAAGAAGTGACAGATGGCAGCTGATGTTCAGTAGAAGTTCATCTGCATCCCAATATACTCTCTCTGAGATTATGTGATATGTCCAGTGGTTGATAACCTTGCATCAGAAATGAGTTTCTGAACAGTTTATATTTCTTAGCTTTCTAGGAGCCAGTTCAGCACCCAGTGAAATGTGGTGAATCTTCAAATACCACCCCCTGAAAAAAAAATTCAGAAGCATACCGCCCACAAGATTAGAGGGGGTTTTATTCTGCCCCAAAGGTGGGAGTAGCATGTTTGTCACTACAGTTTACTTCAGTTCTCTCATCTGAGGGAATGCACACTAATATTGTATTGTTTATTTATTTGTTTTTTGTAAAAGATAGCTTTCAGCACAAATTGCTAGGCATAGTAAAATTAGATTTTCTTATGGATTTAAACAGGATCTCGTATTGTGGCTATTACTCAGTTTTCTAAATCTTTATCAACCAGCACAGTTGGTTTTAAACAAATGGAATTATACAGTAAAGATTTTTTTTAAAAAAAATGCAGAAAAATGTTCTGTTTTAGTTTTTCATACAATTTTTGCATTGTTTTTCATTCTGTTTTTAATAATCAGAGTTCTTTTACATTTTCCACAGGAAATAATGAAGAAACAAATAAACCATCAAGGAAAAAACAGAAAAGGAGTGCAAGTGAAGATGTTGCAGTTGCTGCACAGGTACTGATTTCAGTTTGGTTTGCCTCCACCTCTCCCTCATTTCTAATTGGCTCATAATTTCAACAGGGAAGAGTGTATTGCAAAGGCCAAGGTGTGCAGTGCTGTTCTATGCACCGAGATTCATTGTGCCCCCAAAGGAGTCCTTGTCAGTGGGGAAGCAGCAAATACATGCTGACAAAAAGGCTAACATTTGCATGTCCCAGAGAGTAACTTGTTAGTTCCACAGATGTGTAGAGCAGTCATCCACTTATGTAGAAGAAAATAGTGCACTTCTGATGTTATCCCAGAATAAAGCTGCTTTTCCTGACACAAGCAGTGCAGAACTGCCTTTCATGTTAGTCGGAGAGAGCCAAGTGGAATACATCTTTATAAGGGGATATCGGGCCTGGTATGAGACACATGAATGATCCTTGTTTGCAGTAAACAGTAGTTTATTTGGAAGAAGAGCCAAAGAAAGATTCAAATTGGTGTGCCTGAAGGTTGGCAGCTCAGGAGAAAGCATATGAGGTGACGTTCTTGAGGGGTTGGTCATTTCATAGTAAACCATGGTTTGGCATTATGTTGAGGGAGACCCACTGTTTGTTGCAAGGGTTTAGAGCTAGTATTGCTGTAATGACACAATGGAAGGTTTGTTCCCTCTAGATTCTTATCATATATCTAGACTAACAGTGATTGGGTGGGAAATTTCCTGTCTTCTCCACATGGTGGTTTATGCGGCTGGTGATGTCTGTGGACATTGTTATAATTTCTTCCTTTTTTGGTGTCCTCCGGGGCTGGCTGGAGATTGCTGGGAATTGTAATCCTACACATATGGAGGACACAGTTGGGGAAGGCTGGCATGTTCTTAGTTATACTTAAGGCTATCTCTCCCTGCATCCCTTTGCAAAAAAACCCAGTATTTTATACACTGTTGCTAGAAATAGACAATGATCCCAAAGTCAAATTAGAATAGCTTATTCTGAGTAGCTATGGTACTTTGGACACAGCAGTGGATTTTGACATTTGTATGTGTCTAGTCAACCGGACAGTTTCTGACCCTATGATATACAGGCACATGTAGATACTTTTTTGTGACTTTGATGGTAGCTGAAGCCTGGAGTGGGTCTAAGCAGCCTGACTTCATCATTTCCATTTAGAGATATTTCATATTGATTTTAATCCACATTTAAAAAAACTTTTTCAAATAGGCTCAGAAGTTTATGCTGGGCAGGGGGCGGGGGGAGAAAAATTGTGACATAAAACCATCACCAATAAAAGATACAGGCTAATGGGAAGCCACGGAATTCAAATCAGCTGATCATGCCCTATTAAGCTTAGTTCTTCTGTGGTTTAGACAAGAGAGATTATGCTAAGGGAAATGAGAAGTTTTGAATTCTTACTAATCAACAGCTAGCCACAAGGGAACACTTTGGGTTCTAATTGTTCAGTACGTATTAAGAAGATAAAGGCCTGGAGTTGGTAACTTTTATATCCCAGTATTTTTCTTGGCACTAGTGGGAATTATTCTTGAAACAATTTGCCCATTGCTAATTAGATATTTTGCCAGCAAAATTATAAAAGGATGGGGACAATCTTAAATGCAAGGGTAGAAAACAAGCTATGCCATCCAGTCAGTTGCTCAGGGGTAGCTTTTGGCACTTTTAATTTATCGAGCGTTGAGGCATGCTTAAACCCCTTTAATGCTGTTTCACAGTTAATTTCAGAATTCCCATTTCAGCTTTTTAATGCCAGGAATGGTGTTTTACTATTCAAACTAAACGTCATATAAGTGAGCACTTGACATGCCTGTTTATTTTCTTTAAATAATAGCATGATGATGCTTGGACAAAGCTTCCATGAGTACTCACACACAATGTGGGATCAGTGAGGGTCAGGGATCCCCTACACCAGTAATCTCAGCTACACTGGAACCAGTTGGGAAGAGCTTATGGGGATATGACTTCCTCCATATGACCCCCTTATTGGCTCAATCAGAAGTGCAGGTGAGCTTGGAGAGGAGTACATGGGAAAAGCTATTATTTCATACCGTCTTTGTGCAGTCACAGCACCTCAGCACAGTATGAATTAAACAGGGTGGTCATCTAGTACTTTGGGCCCACACCAGGTGTCCTCCAAGAGTTGTGGGTTGCCCACCTATGCAATAAAGCATTGCAGAACTCTTCCCATTTATCTGTCTTCTCTCAGCTAAACCCTGGTTTATGTTAAGGTCTTCTCCAAATTCATCTACTGTGGCCATCTTCTCTTTTCGCTTTTCCAGTTCGCCTTCATCCAAAACTCTTCTGCCCTGATGGATTGCTTTTCCTTCAGTCAGACCGTGTGACATGTAGTCTTCAAACTTTTTTCCCCCTCTAATGGTCATTTGTGTATGGTCCATAGTTTTCATTATATCTGTTGGTGACCTCCAACCTTTACTATCCTAAGCTGCTTAAAGATATTTGACTCTCCATCTTGACTCTACCCTTCTTCCTTGCTCTCTAATTTGTGTGGAATTCATTTTACGGATGTGGAGAAGGTGCCAAGTCTTTTTTGCTGTCTACCTATAGAACTCATCTCAAAATCTTTTTGTCGGGACTTTGTCAGCTTAATCTTCTGTTTCTTATTCTTACTTTCATATGTATTTATGCTTGTATTCACCCATTAATACTGTTGACTCACCATGCCCACCCTGTGTTGTTTCCTTAATTGTCTGTTTGATCTGTAAAATTCTTGGGGCAGGGACCTGTCTACCTTTTGCTATGCTTAACATTGGTACTCTGATGGATTAATCCATTTTTTCTAGGCTCTGTTCTTGCACAAAGAATTATGAATTAAAATCTGTTTCATGCCAATTTCCACAGGATGTACAGGTGGTATCTACTGAACCTGTTCTGGAAAACCTTGAAAAGAATGAAAACAAAATAGTGCCTCAAAGAGCTGGAAGTTCTAAGGGGCAACATAATCATCAGCTTGAAAATGAGGAACTGGACCTTGACCTGGAGGAACAGGCTTGTCAGCCCTCTGAGACGGCTGCAAGAAATACAGGGAAAAACAAATTGGACAATGTTAGCTTTACAACTAAGCAAGCTCATCAGGACAACACGTCACAATCTTTTCTTCACCAGAGTAAGATTCAAGAACATATTCTAAATCAGGCTTCCGAAGCAGACACTTCTAATTTAACTGAAGGTCAAAATGTACCACAAAGCTCTAATGTAGCCAGACATCAGAGGACAGCCTGCCGGTATGGGAAAAGCTGCTACAGGTAAATTCAAATGTAAATCTTCCAGGTGGCCAGGTTTAAATACTTGGTGATACATAATGATGTAACCTGCAGGCAGTGAAGATCTTGTACTGTCAGCTCTGGTGCTGAAAATACATTTTAACTATCTGCAGTGGGCAGATGAGTTGTCTCTTTGGAAGTAAGTGTATGGAGTTATATTCAGATGGACAACTCAAGAATGAGATGATGCATTATGGCAGATAAACAACATGCAAGTAAGTCTAGGTGAATAAAAACAAGCCTGTTTCAGGCAAGCCAAAATAATTGTGTAATGGTCTTACAGGCTATGTTGTGCTTTGTTTGTTTATTTTCAGTATTGGAGTTATTTTGCCTTCTGATGTCTAAGGGGCAGAAGACAAAATTCAGCTAACAGTGTGCTCTTAAGCTGCTTTACTCAAAATCAATCCCACTGTATTTTGTAGGAAGGTGTGCTTAAGAAAGTTGTAGAAGCCTGCTTGCACTGAATCCAAATCACCATTGGGAAACTGTTTTGAGAAACATAATTTTATAACAGGGGTACTTTCAGTTTCTCTTAACATTCTGTGCAGAGTAGTTAAAGGTAATCAGCTCAGTGTGGTATGAATATGGGGGTTGTCTTGGCTTCACTGTCAAAATGAAATAGATAAAATGAATACTAAGTGACAGAGACAGGTTTATTTAAAATTCATTTTGTGCATCATAAAAGCAGTCCTATGGCCATAGTATGCTTTGGATTCCCACGTCTGAGTCTGGAGTCAGTGCTCTGACCTTGGTGCTTTTAACTGCAGCTCTAACCTTCCTCCCCTTTGCAGCTGGTGTGGAAAGAATTGCACCAGTTGCTCTCGAGGGTTAGAAACACAACCTCGGAGGGAGGAAAATGAAGCCAGTCTGGATGGGCAAGGGCAGGACACTGGAGAGGTTAGGATACAAGTTATTGTGATGCTTCCTTAGTCTCCCTTCCTTACCTCTCTGCCTAGTGAAAAAGGGTGGGAAGATAGGGATCAAAAAACACCTGCATGGCTATTCTACCATGCATAAGATGACATAAATCAAGTTTGGTGGCTTATGATAATCACATGGTCGCACATGCACAAGGTTGTCCCTTATCACTTGTTCACCTGAACAGTTCCTTTTTCTCAGACCCAGTACTATCAATTGCTCACCAACCTAGGTAACCTAGGAGGCAATATACCCTATTTCCAAGGTTTATGCTGTATGGTCACATAACATACACTGACTTTCCAGAACTTTAAGATTCAGAAGAATCTTACCCTTCTGATTCAGAAAGAAGGCTGTAGAAAAAGGGGCTATTGTGGCATTAAAAATACATGTGAAAACCCATTGTGCTCATTGAATTAATTGGCGCTGTACTTTGATTGTTAGCCAGTTGTGGGGAATAATAGGAATTGTGATTCCTATCCAGTGAAGCTTCCAGTATCATAAATCTTTTAGATGAACCTTGAGTATGCCTGCATTTGAAACACTGTGTGCAGATCCGGTCTACTGAACTCCAAAAGGACATAATGCTAGAAAGGTACAGAACACCTGAAATGATTGGCAAATTAGAACTTATTCCCTAGTGGGAAAATCTAAAGCATCTGGTTTTTATTTGCATTACTGTTAAGATGAGATGCAGAAGGGTTTGGAACATGGTACTAGTGTATAAAATTCTGAATGGTATGAAAAGAGTGGCTATAAAGGCAACTTTCTTCCTCTCATAATATTAGAACCTGGGAATATCTAGTATAATTAGCAGGTAATAGATTAGCAGGCAATAGATTCAGAACAGATGAGAGGAAGCATTTTCTTTACACCTTGCATCTTTAACAGATTTCACTGCCTTAAGAAGTGTTTGTGGCTGCTAGCTCAGATGACTTGTAAAAGGTTCTTTCAACTGCTATAAATTGTGGTATGTTAATAGAATCCCCCCATGTGCCAGATGGTTAGGAATGGGCATCTAGGAATGGGCTCTTACCTTTATGCCCTGCTTGTGGGGTTCCTCAGGGCATCTGCCTTGCTACTCTTGAAAGCATATTGATAGGCCCCCAAAAGCTATGTAGCTTATAACTAATAGTGAATACACTAGTTGGATGATATCCAATGTAAACATGTGCACTTGGCTTAGGTAGTTGCATTATATTTTCCCTAGCCTCATACTCAAACAAATTGCATATTGGTATAGCTTATGATGCATTTCTTAATTTCACAGGAAGAATCCCATACATCTTCAGGAGTTCAGTCACCCTGGTGATAGCGATTATTGTGACACAGAAACTTTATCTCAAATTGACAATGATAACAGACCTGAATGTCCTTATGGAACTGCTTGTTACAGGTAAGAAATATTGCTTAAAGTAGATGGTCTCTCTCAAAATTTTTAGACAGGATGGCTTATTTCAATTATAAAGCAATGATCTAAAACAAGCATAGCAGCAGCTGGCTAAATATTTTGTTGTAATATGCTAGTACATAAGGTGAGACTAGCCCATTCCCAACCATTAACCAGTTACTTCAGCCTTATCAGACTATCTCTCACCTTCAGCTCCAACTTGCATCATGGGACCCACTTTTTAATGGTTGTATAGAAGGTGATACTTTATCAAATACAGCTTGTTTTGTATGGGTGAGAAGTTTCACTTGTTGAACTTCCTGCTTCTACATAAGGTACAGGAGATCCCTTTCTACTGGCAATTGGTTGTCCTGTCTCTTAAAAAAAAAAAAAAAAGGGTTGCGTCAATGTGCAACCCACTTTAAGTCAAAGTGAAAGATCCTAACCAGTCAGCTGCAGTCCAGTGTTCTAAATGCAATTACTATAGGGCAGTGGTCTGCAACTGGGACAACACTCATTGAGTTGGCCAAACCTCTAGAAGAGGGTGTTTCCTCCTCCAACTTACGGGCATATATTTTCAGAAGGGTGCCCCTATAAATGAGACTGGGTGAACAATTCTGTAGCTTTGTTTCAGAAAAAGAAATTCTGACGAAAGATCATATTGCAAATAGTAGTTATGCAATGCCTTGTTTTCATTTTTAGAACATCCTGGCCTTCTTGATGCACTTTCAGAGTTTCTTAAAATGCTCACTTTTCCCACTTTTCATTTAAATGTATGAAAGAGAGCAAGCAAATTTACTGATGGCTCAAACTGAAATATCTGAAAATGACAAAATGTACTGCTGGTTGGATTTAGTCTGTTATATTTGTCTTTCCTTTTAAATGAAGATGGAAAGCATTTGTTTTGACTGGGTTTTTTTTTTTTCATTTTTTATTGAAAGGCTTAGTTAAGTGTTTCAAAGTTATAGGACACACAGTGATTGATTTCCCTTCCACTTAAACATAGTCCTCTGTAGCATTAGGATTGAAATAGTTTTCATTGTTAGAAAATAACATTAAAGTTATAAAGAGTGGAACATTTAGGTTTCATCTCCCCCTCCCCTTTCTTTGCAGGAAAAATCCACAGCACAAGCTGGAGTACAAACACACAGCACCCCCAGGTAAGGTGTTTTTCTTCCACTTAAAATACAGAACCCTGTGGCCTGATGGGGGTGTCAGAGTGGGGAGAGACAGAAGGATAGCCCAAGTGGAGCTGTTGAAGTGTTACTGCCTTATGTAATTGATGGCCCTTTGATGTAAGGAAAGAAGTGGGTATAGTTTCTGGAGCGCTAAATGCCTTTTATTATAGTTCAATGCATTCTAATCAGTGCAGCCATGAAAAGGAAGATTTTACTCAGATTTTCCAGGTAAAAATTAACTAGCCAGCAAAACCAAATGCTCTAATAATGTGAATACTGAGTTGGATCCAGGTTTTCCTTTGCATGAAGAAACATAGATCTAGCAGAAGCTCCTCCTAGAGGAAGGAGGTCTCTTCCAATTCCCTATGCTTCCTGCAACTTCCCATATTTTTCTGGAAGGTCACCAAGTTCTCCCAGACAACTTCTCAGAGTGCTGACAGATGTGGTATGTAGGAGGGAATTGGTGAATTGCCTCCCTTCTGCCCATGAATATGTTTCATCAATGAAATTTTGCTCAAGGCTAGTCTAGAACCAGTGCAACTCATTCTAGCCCAGGGAAGCTAAATTCAGAATTTAGACTAAGAGATCATCAAATTGCAAAATAAGAGTCATTGGTGCAGACTTACATTTTAGTTCTGTTTTGCTTGGCCTGGATCTTGCAACAAGTCCAGGGTAGATTTACAGTGCAATCCCATGCACATTTACTTAGATTGTTTAACTCCATCTGGTAGCATGATCCTGTTCATATTTACTTGAAATAAGTCCAGTTGAATGGACCTCTTCTGTAAATGTATGTAGGCTGTGTCCTTAGTTTTCTTTTATATAAGCAGGTCCCCTCCTGCTTCTCCAAGTCTTCACTGCAAACTGCTTTTGAAATAGAAGGAAATGTCAAAAGTAGCTGATGATAGAGCATGGGTGGAGGGTGGATGTCCGCTGTTTGAATTTTAAAGTGACCCAAATTCCATGGGACTGGTCTGGAGTCCATAGATCAGCTCTAAGTATCTTGCTTGGAAAAAAGAATTGAGAATGTGTGGAGATGTGTGCTCAGACTCTCTGTGGAGGTTCAGTGAACAAAAGCAGATAGAAGTTTCTTTTCAGAAGGAAGCTTTCCTGCCCTTGCCTTCCCACTGCAGTCTCTTGTACCACTTGAAAATCCACTCTGGGGACTTATGAGACCCTTAAGAATGGGGTGAAACATGGTGCAGGAGATTGCAAATAGCATAAGGAGTTAGTGGAAACTTCCCCAATTTCAATAACATTTCATATCCCTATTTGTTGTTGCCTTGGCAACTTCTTTCTTTCTTTCTTTCTTTCTTTCTTTCTTTCTTTCTTTCTTTCTTTCTTTAGAATCTGAGAGAAGGCAGACGAGACAGAGGGTTGTTAAAAAAGGTAAGGTTACTGTGCATTTCCAAGCCGAATAAATAGAATAGCTCTTAGGAATTTCTTTATAATATGAGTACCATAAACAAGTCAAGTTGCTATGTAAAAGGGCAAACCTTCCTCTGCTGTTACCAAATAGATTAAATCAAGCCTCTGCCTGAAAAGGTGCACACTGGAAGTAAACAACTTCACCCTGGTGAACAATATTGTTTATTTATTTGGTTACATTTATAGCTCACTATTTTTGTCACTGGGTTCCCCAGGTAGCCTCCCATCAAATCAATGACTGGAGCTAGACCTTCTTAGCACCTGTTGGAACATCTCTGGTTAATGTTGAAAATGTAGAACATTTTTGATGATTAGAGCTCTTTTTTAATTGCTCTGCTGCCTGCTGCTACATTTATCTGTAAACATAAAAGCCATAAAGTGGTCTTCATTCATAACATTCAGAAATTAAATTGTAGATGTTTGACTTAATAAAGATTTGTCAAGGTATCGCATATACCGGCAAACACCCATGCTGGTATCTTTGGTCTCCTCTTGTAGAATGCCATACACACGAATACTGTGCTTGTAATGTGTTCCCATAAAACATGGGGAAATCTGTCTTTATCCCCTCATCCACCCACCCCAAAGGTGTGTGTGTAGAAGACTGCATGAATCAGGCCTGTGCCTATGCATCCATAGACTTGTCCCATAGGATCACAGGGACAAAATGATAACATGATGACAGCACCTGTTTATTGGTTCCTGTAGCTGCCCCAAGTGTCAGCTTGTTTAAGGTTAGGATTGATGTAGGACATTTCACACTGTCCTGCTGATGCTGATGTGTGTGTTTTTTCAAATCTTTCACTTCTATAGGATTTTATCAACCTTTATTACAGGCTGTTTGGCCTGATTGCAGGGTACAGCAAACTAGAGCTCACATTCCTCTATAAAGATAACAGAAGTGTAACAAATGCTGACCACTCAGGAAGAAAGGAGTGTGCTGGCTAGAAAACCTGTGGCTCGTTAGTTGTTAAAGCCATTATCTTAATTATCACAGAATACATTGCTAAGTGTTAGTGTATCTAGGAACCTGCCAGCTTTTGACATCTTTTCAGAGGATGAGAGCTAACAAAGAGCAGTGAAACTTCCATTCTAAATATGCCTGGAAGGACTATCTGACCTGGCTAAAGGTTCTCTGCAGTCCTGCTACGATAGTTTTTCATTATAGCAAATTGAAAAAGCTATTCTTAGGAACACTACAAAGAAAATTCTCATTTCAGGATCATTGGCATAAAGTGTCTTCCCTGATAAAGCCCAAGGTCATATTAGGGAACATACCATGTTTGAGAAGGAGAATCACCTTTAACCATAGCAGTTCCTTTTCCTTAGCAAAGCCCTGGAGATGAAAAGGGGTTAATCTAATTGTTCAAACTGAAAGCCCAATTATTTGGATAACTTTTATTAGAAGTTCTAAAACAGCACATATGCTTAGTACCTTGTGAGGAACCTCAGGCCCATGGGCCAAATCCAACCTCCTGGAGTCCTTAATCAGAGCTTTGGGATTCCTCAAATGGCTATATCCCCTTTCCTTCAACCACTGATTGTACAGTGGTTTTTCTACTTTTCTGCAGTTTTTCCCCTTTCTAAAAGGATGCAGTGCCTTTCTAAATGCCTTATGGCAGTGAGACCTTGAAGATACAATGTGTAGGTATATTTCTATATTATTTTGGCTGCTCTCCCTTTGACTTTGGCCCTGCCTCCCACAAGAATGTGGCTTCTCTGAAATGGAATTCGACCCAAGGGCTGAAAGCTCTCTTATCGCTGCTATATAGAACATTGAGTCTGCCACCTGCAATCTTGACTGCTTATGATTCCAATTCCTTCAGTGAAGTTGTTCATTGAAAGATAATGCCTTAGACCTCAGGGCACCCTAATCCCTTTTGCATGTCCACAAAGATATGAGCCAGTTTGCAAGTTGTAACAACCCACAGTTAAACTACAGCTCTTGAGAAGACAAGCAGGGGCAAGTTTGTGTTCAGGTTCACTTGTGCCTGCTCACTGTTTTAAACAATTCAGAGAGTGAATGTTTATCTTGACTGTCAGACCTGGAACGCTGTGTTGTCCGAGAACAGAAAACTCACAGCTTGAATGCCTGGTGGTCCTGATGATGTTAGGGAGTGCTTGCTGGAAGCTGGAGTATAGGTGCTGGGATCTATTATAAGACTGGCCTAGGCTTCTGTGGAATGCTGTCCTAACTAGCTTCTAGTGCTGTGAATGTGCAGGATTCCTGAGTTTACCATTACGAGCATCCATTTACAAATTTCAAGCCATCACTAATGCTATCTCTTTCTCTCCAGCTATTCAGTCCATATTTGGCTATTGGTACAGTGAAGCCAAAATTCCTATAGAGTGACTTATCTAATATTAAATAATACAATTCAGTTCATATAATAGTCGTATACCAGGATCATTTGCACTGCTGATGGACAGTTGAGATTTTACATATTTTTAAATTCTACAGGAAGGGGTGCTTTAGAGGATGATGATGATGGTGGTGAGCCCAATGAATATGACCTAAATGACAGCTTCATAGATGATGAAGAGGAAGAGGACTGTGACCCTACTGATGAGGATTCTGACTGGGAGCCTGATTCTCAAGAAAAAGATGATGAAGATGTTGACACACTGCTGGAAGAAGCAGAGAATTTTGTTAAAACCAAGAAGTGATTTTATCCTAATAGGCAAGCTTTGATGAAAGTTAAAAGTACAAATTTTGTGAAAACCCATGAAACTCATTAAGTATGTCCCTCTAACCTTTAAATCAAAGTGATTTCAATTTTATGTAACTATACCTAAAAGTACCCCTTTAAATGGGGAAACACTACATGGAAGATAGTTGTAATACTTACTTGGGACAAATGTTTATACTTGAGACCCAAATGAAGAAGAAATACTCTGGTCACAATCTGGCCAAAGTCAAGCACTTTGAAGTTTGGTTCAGCTTTAATAGGGAGAGTTAAAATGCTTGACACCTCCATTGAAGTGAAAGTGATGAATACTGCATTGTGACCAGTCTATCCTTGGTATTTTCCTTTCTCAAAGCCAAGCCTTTACCTCATGAAATTGGATCATGTATGTAAATCTTAAAAATGCAAGTCCTCCACAGCTGATAATGTCAAAAGGAAGACCTTGAGCACTACAGCCAAATACACAGTACTGCTGATTTTTTGTAAGATGTGTTGTGCCAGATATGGTTGTGGGGCATACGAGTAAATGGGAAAGTTTTTATTTGTATTACTGAAGTTTGTAATAGGGTTCATTTTAAATGAACATTGCATTGCATAACAATTCTAGATTGACAATTAAACCAGTTTGGATTTTGGTTCATTTATATATATATATAGTCAGACTGGTAAACAATTACTGTCTTTCATTACTTGTAATTCTCCATCTGGCACTACAAATAGGATTCTTTCTATTTGAGGAAAATGTTTATAAATTTATGCTGAAAGGCAATTATGTTTCGATCTCTTTCCAGTTTTTCTGAAAGTCACTCTACACCATGACATTCTGTTGGCTTGTGCTGAAACATAAATTTCAAATGACTTGCCTTGACAAGGGTTTGTTTATAAAATGTCTGATTTGCACCTTCAGATGCAAAGTACAGATACATTAAGCATGGAAATTGCTTTTTAAGGGAAATATTCAGCATTTGCCCTTTGGTGGATAGCCATATGGCAGCACCTGTTCACTAACAACCATTGCAGTGCTTTTTTTAAGATTCCACAATTTTGCTGCAGGACTTAGACAGCTACGAATCTGTTGTCTTAAGATCAAGGTGATCCATCTTTCATGGTTTTTTGCAACTTGGGGAAGGTGTGCTGTAGGACTACCCTAGTTCCCTTGTTCAGAGTGATTAGCACTGAATTAAACAACTGGACTAGTTCTGTGCTGTGCTTCCCAGTCAAAGTGAGACCAGCGCTATGCTCTCATTGCCTCCCACAAATTGGGAAAAGAAATGGTATAGTCCTGGAGACCCAGGAGAGAGTGATGGTATAGTGCTGGAGTTTTTAATGGAAGGGAGGGCACCAGAAGGTGGCAAAGTCTTTTCTCTGAGGATGAGGAAGGTCAAGAAAAAAGAGGAGGTCAGAAGGTATCAGGAAATCCCCGATTAACTATTCCAAGGTGTTTTAAGGTGGCATACTTTTAAGGGGTTGTGAGGAATGCAGAAAACTCGGGCTAAGCAGTGGTATTCAGCAGTCCCTTGACCTTATCCCATGAATGGCTCCTTAGTTAGAAACATTTACAAAAATATTAGTGATTAACTATTTCTGTCCAGCCCTATTCCCCCCCCTCCCCTTTGAGTGTTAGTATTTTTTGAGTGCAGGGAATGCTTCAGGTTCTTAAAATTAATTGCTTAAGTGTAGTATACAGCACAAAAGTGTTTAAGCCCTGCTATATGAAAAGCACATAAATCTTGAAAAATACATGCACTAGATGAAAAAGAATGTCTAGGAAATTAGCTCATTGAAATTCTGAGGATAAAAGTAATGTAAGTCCAATTTTGGCAAAACAAATGTGTACTTTGATGGTAGTATTATAAAGCAAGCTTTTCCAATCAGGTGTCCTTCAGATGTGCTACAATGTAACTAGTCATGCTTGTTGGAAATGATGGGATTTGTGATCCAGCACTTCTGGAGCTCTTCTGTTGGGGAAGATGGATATAAAGAGAGCAAAGATGGGTATAAAGAGGGTAGAGACAGGCCTTAGAGACCTGGTCTCTAAAAGTCTTTGTTCAAGCTACTTTCGAATATTCAGGATGGTTTACACTCCATGATTTTTTGGAACATCCTGAATCACATCATAAGCTAGATCACATAATTAAGCTACCATGGCTTGTTTTAATCCCTGCCATGTATCAGCTCTGGCTGCCTTTTTCCTTGGCTTATGTTGTCTGAACCTAAAGGGCATGGCTTATTGGTGGGAGGAAACTATCCTCAAACAACCCATGACAAGTTATAAGGTTATCTGAGAGTTGTTTTCTCCTCAGACAAACTATGCTGCTAAGTTTGCACAATATGGCAAACTGGCAGGTAATCAGGAAATTTTGTCTGGCACATGATAAGGATCAGAACAAGCCTTGTAGCTTGTTTTGAGAACTGGATTCTTGTGTTCACAGAAGATTTCCTAGCTTGCCTTTAAAAAAAGAAAGAAAATATAAACCCATCAAGATAGGGTAGTGGCATGAATCTATCAAAGAATACCCCTTCCTTGGGTTTTCCACTGCTTAAAGTATTCCATTGCTGTTACCACTATGTTGTGGAAAGTAACCATGATGAGCCATTCTATCACTTTAGTTGTAGATCTGTACTGTCAGGAAGTGATATGTGGGAAAACACCTTGGAGAGATCTAGTAAGTTTCCATAATTGGATTCACTCCTGCTTATTAATCATTCCTTATTCCCTTTCCCTTTCAGCTGTATCATATAATATCTCTTTTGGGGGGGTATACTTTAGCCCACCCAGTAGCTGAATTTAAGCATGGAACAAGGTAGTCCAAACTTTCTAATAATTAAAACAAATGTTAAAACTATTTAAAATTATAAATATGCAACTCTAGAAAAATTCTAATTTAAGTATGTACTAAAAGCCTAACAGCAAATTCTTAATGAGAGTTGAGCCAAATTATCAGGTAAGCTGTCTAATTTGTCTTCCCATGAGGCAGCCTAGACCAGAATTAGGAAACTAACAGAGCAGGTAGTACGAATGGGTAGTAATTAACCAAGTAGAAAGAAGAAAGGAGAGTTTGGCTTGGTTGCTTAAGTGACAGGGACAACACAAACTCCCTACTCTACATACTTTGTTGGTTCCCAGTGCCAAAGACTGCCTTTAAAAAATGATTATCAGTAATTCAAATTTAGTCAACCTTTAGCCAGTTTCCCTGCAGGGAACAAATTAGTTTCTCTGCTAAAATTCAGCCCTGGAAGCATATGGCAATTTATGGAATTGGGCAGGCATTGTGAATATTAGGCACCTGCTACAGATGAGCTAAGCTGCGAGAGGTGTCGCACAGATTTGATTGATTCCAGGGTCTCAACATCCTTTGGAAGAGGCATCATCCAGTCAAGGGGTTCCATACTGTGAGCATCAATGGGAGGGATGGAAAAGAATTGTGTCTTAAGAAAATAGGAACATTTTCATTTCTCAAAGATGACCAGGGCATGGAGAAAGCATACAAACTCATTTTTGTTTTGAAATACACCTCTCATTCCTACTGGAGAAGAAAATATATGTTTGATAATATATATTGTTCTACTGTTGCGTGGGTAGCTGACATTTTTGTTTCTGCCAGGATGTAATATGTGTGTCTCAGAACATAGAAACCCAGTGAAAGGTAATTCAGGTATCATTAATTCATGGCAAAATTTAAAATTTGCCTGTAATAGGGGAAAAATAACCAAGCAGAAACATAGCTGAGGATTATAGGAAGCTGCCAGACCCTTTGTCTGTCTAGTAGTCCAAGACTGTCAACACTGACTGGCAGCAGGTGCTCTGCAGGGTTTCATATAGGTTTTTTCCCCGCACTACCTGCAAATTGAACTTGGGACCTACCTACTACATACAAAGGAGCCCTGCTGCTAAGCTCTGGTCCCAGGAGCTATAGCCAGGCTTGTTTTTTATATTCTCACCACTAGATTGAGATCTGGTTAACTTAAAATGGCACATTATTAACAAATAATTGATTATGCTTCCAAGTTGAACCCAATTGGATGTTTTTCCAATTTTAAATCACTATTGCCATAAGTCCTCTGGGTTTTAAAATGATAGTTTGAGTACCTAGGCTTTTATTTACCACCTTTATTTATGGTATTGATAATCACAATTTGAACATCTTTGGTTAAAGGATTAGGGAGAAATCTTTCTTTTCCATGTTCTCCTGCATTGCTAAAATCAATAGCCATTTTGTTGGATAACAGTCCATCAAGGCTGAAAGGATTCTTGTGAGTTTGTGATGAATTGTATGAAATTGTGTGAAGATACACACAGGAAGCATGAAACAGGATTTATTGGTCCTGAACTGACATGAAACAAAAGTCTGCTTTCAGTGTAAGCATTAAAAGGAACATTAGACCCACATACTGCTCTTACTGTGCTGTCTTTGGCACTTCATTCTTAATTGCAAAACATGGAACTTTGATTCCATGTATGTTTGCTAATCAGAATCTTAACCCACAGCTGTATCCAAATTAGTAAGTCAACTTTTAAACCAGATTCCATATTTTGACATAATATAGAATGATGATTGCAATAGATTGTAACTGAAGCACTAAAGATGCTGCAAGAACAGGAGTGGTAAGAGGCGTACATAGTTTAACAAGCCAGGACTTTTAAAGAAGAATCAGGCATACAGTATAATGCCAGTATTCTTTTAACAAGTGCTTATGCAAATAAAGTTTATCTAATTGTCTTCACGATGACAATTTTCTCTCTTTTTGAATTAAAATATGATAGGACATCCTGAAAATATCTATTAGAATTTGAGACTTGGATGAGAAATTTCACCAAATTACTGTGCTTCCTCTTTTGGGTATCTACCATATTTGTTAAAAAATTAGCAATGAGTCAAACAATGCATAAAGAACTTGGCTCTTGGTCATTATAACCTTTAAACTGTTTATTAGGACTCTGTTTTTATATAGAGAAACAGTCACGAGCATTTCCCCTACCCTCACAATAAAAAATGGTACAGCCCATATACAGTTCACTATCTCAGTGAGAACTATTATCTACAGGCTTTGCCATCTAACTTGGCATCTGCTTTCAGGTTCTTTTTTGGGATTAAGATTGGCTCCTCTACACATGTTGCCTCCCCCACTTTTTCCTTTTCGGCCTTTCTTGTTTTGCTTCATAATGTCTAGGTGGTGCTGTGGTGCCATTCCATTCTGCCATTCTCCCAAAGGCCAGACTCTGCTCAGTCAGCAACCGCACCTTCACATGGAAATCATGGGAGAGGCCCTGGAGGATGTTGGCTAAAGCACCTACAAGCTATTGCAAGTGGGGTATGATGTGTGTGCAACTAAAAGCCTCATCTAGAAAAGCTCTTAATTCTTTAATATAGTTACGTTATGTAAGGTTTTATCATAGGCTTATAATCTCAGTTGTTTAACTGAAAGCAAAATTAGTAAATCAATGGAAATTTTTCCAAGGGAGAACTTGGCATTGTTTCTCTAAGTAGTGAAGGCAGAAAGAAAACAAAAGTGGACGAGATTTTGGGAGTTAACAGTTAAACAAACTACCAGAAATGATTTTCATGACAGAAGCGTTGCGTGCAAGAGATGCTCATAAGGAATACATTCAACTGTCCCCGTTTTCCCAGGCAAGGAGATACCATGATAGGAAAAGTTATAGTCACTGAATTTCTGCCAGTTTTTTACTCTGTGTTCAAAGGTATTGAACTTCTGCCATCAAGATTACAAGGTTTTCAGTTATTTGAGATTGAATAGCAGGTGAAATCTTAGAACCTGGTTAAGGCAAAGTTGCTGAAGATGGTTTAGTCCCACTGAAGTTAGTAGATTTAAGTTATTCTGTTTGATTTGAGAACCCACCACTTCTGTAACTGATCTAATTGTCCTCTTTTTTAAAAGAAGAAAGCACAAGACTTCTGTAGTAGAGAAAGAAGATACAAATGGTTTCTTTAAGGCAGGAGTGTTGAACGTCTTTCAACCCAAGGTCTAAATCCAATTTTGGAGACTCTCCCAGCGGCTGCATTCCAGTGGAGGACAGGGCTTGGAGGCAAATGCCGTGGAGCCCGAATTGACAGGATAGTCTAGCTAGGCAGTGCAATCTCTTCTATGTCTACTCAGAAGTAAGTCCCTCCATTTTCAGTGTGGCATAGGACTGCTGCCTAACAGGCTCTTAACTGCAACTAACTGAGCCTTGGGAGAGGAGACGTGGGCAAAATGACACAAAAGCCATGATGCTACCACATAATTTCTGCCTGCAAGCAGTCATATGATCAGTCCTGTAGGATTGGATTTGAATCTTGGGAAGGCAGATTTGGCTTCTGGACCTGAGATTCTGCACACGCTGGTCTAAGCACTCAAAAGATGCATGTTGGAGAATAAGGCAGCTCACTGCTTACCCCGCAGTTTCAACACGAACTGGACAATAGAGAACTCATGTTGCCATTGGTACGTCTTCAAGATGTAAAGACTGTTCACACAGTGGCCTGCCAGCTGCTAGAGCCAAACCCAGAAGTGGGATATGAGTACAATAGTGTCCCTTTGCTTGTATTCTCCAGAAACTGGTTTATATAGGCATGCTGCCTCTGATACTGGAGGCGGCACAGACTTCATGACTAGTAGCCAAGGATAGCTATCCGTTAAATTTGTCTGATCCGCCATGAAAGGTGGTGACCATTAATTCCTAGCAATAGAAAATGAGACAAAATCCTTCTTTGTACCTCTTCTGAATCTTCCACCATTCAACTTCACAGAATGAGCAGGGGCTGTAGCATTCCGGCAGAGGAAGAAAATCTCTCCAGTTTCTCCACACCATGCATAATTATGCACT